TGCGGAGATGTAGAGAGATTGGATATCTATGGTGAAGAGGAGGAAGTCAGGAACATAAAGCTGCAAACTGTTGAAGTGATGAAGGGAATCAGAAATGTTATCAATGTAGGTTGGAAGAGTCTGAACAAGTGGAGAAAAAATAGTGTCATCATATGAGGAAATATGTTCCATGGGGCAAAAATAGGGAGGTGTCTCATTCTGGAAAGGAAGTAGAAGTGCACTGTTTGCAGATTGGTGATTATGAGGTTTGAAGATGCAGACTAAAAATCTCCAGTGGAAATGAAATATGATAGTCCTGGATACAATGCTCTAATGCTCATTAGTGAGGTTTTCTTTCGACTGTTGCTTATCATTTCAATTATCCTGCGTTATCCCACTGTCTGTCCTTGACCTGTTACAATTTCAAATGAAGCTCAATACAAGCCCAAGGAACAATGCCTCATCTTGCAACTCAGAACCCTACAGCACTCTAAACACACTGATTTCCACAATTTTAAATCATAACCCTGTGGAGCAGGGGTATCTGTTCAGTTTCTACTGAATTTGGATTGGAGTGGAGAGTGAGGAGTTACTTACCCTTCATCTCTAACTGCACTGGTAGTCTGCAACACCCATAAATGGCAGTGGATCTTTACATCATTGCTCCAGTAATCTCTTTTTGCTTCATGTTTTTTCAGGGTTGACTGCAAATGGAAACATTTCAAGAAGTTCACTTTCACACAGTAAGGTAGCACAGGTATTTATATAATCACAGAAAGAAAGGAGTAGGTTTTGTAGTGATTGTAATGAAGTCAGTCAGGTGGCTATCATAGAAAATGAGTTCTCTGGTTGGGGCCATTAATCTGATCCAACCAGGGAGCCCTGACTGACAGATAAAAACAGGAGTGTCAGGAGTTCTGTCCACTCTGAGAGCTGGCTCTCAGTGTCAAGGACTCTCCACATGTAAATATAGGGCAAATTGGTGATGGGATACCAGCCTCTGTGGAGTTATTTCAGTTGTAACATTAAAATGTTGTTCAGTTTTATTCAGCTTGTGCTATTCAAATGACAGCAACATGTAAAATGAATATTTGTCATGTGTTTAGTGACATCGGCAGCTTGCTTGCAGATTGAGATGTGCATTTCTGAGGTATAATAGGGGTAGAATGAAATGAGTTCTTCATTGCAACAATACATGTCATTCATGGAAGGAGGGGAGGCTTTTGTTTAATGCTGCCTAATGGTGTCCAGGTAGTTGGAAGTGGATCAGTACGAGGATATCTCTTGCTCACATACATCAACTTCTACTCGTTGGATATTAGCAAGTTTACTCTCTACTTCCTCATCCTACCATCAGATGTGGCCCGTGCCTCCTCTTGGTTGACATTCTCCTCTTCTGCACAATGATGTTGTGCGGTGCGGTGTGCCACAAATATCTGTGATACCTTCGCTGGGTATCACTGGAGAGAGGCCTCACAATGATCATGACAACAGAAGTGTATCCTAAGCAGATTGATGGTTTGCTCTATGATGACTCTTGCTGTGGCATTAAACTTGGCATTGAACCTCTCTCCTGAAGGCTCCCGAAAGGCTTCATCAGTCATGTGCAAAGAGGGTCGTCCATTTCATCTAGGATCCATCCTTTAATTTATGGCCTTGGCACAAATGAGTACAGAAACTGAGAGTGTTGGAGCGAATTGTCATTGCAGTTGCTGCATTAAAGCAAGCACACACATGAATGATTTGTATCTCATGGTCACAGATCAGCTGCACATTGCAGGAATAGAATTATTGTCTGTTGCTAAACACTGCCAGCTGCTCACATTTGCCTTGATCACAACACCTTGCAGATAGGGAAAGCCAGCATAACCTTCCCCTCTCTGCATGGCTGCTCTCTCTGTCTGGAATCTTATCAATCCCCTTGTACAGTGTACTATTCATCTCTTTGATACAGTGGTAAGTGGCTGCTTGAAATGTCACATCTATGTCATGTAGAAGCAACTGCAAGGAACTGATTATATAGAAATGAAGAGCTGCAGTAACTCTCAATGCCACTGGTATAGAGTCTGCATAGTATCCCCATGGGGTCAGGTTGTCCTGAATTAGGGCAAAGAATCCATGATGGTCTCTCTGGGGGGGCCTAGTCTCTTCAGACACGCTCTCTGTGACATTTTTAAATACGTCATCCCAATTATGTAATTTCCATGATGCTCTCGGGTCAATGCCAACTTCTGCCTTGCTGCCTGCTCTCCTGTTATTGTGCTCCTTCCTGTTGCTGGGCTCCCTGTACTGGTTCCTGTACAGTGTTCCTGCACAGTGCTGATGGACAGCACTCAGGAATGAAGGATTACAAGGTGAATGATTCTCATTGTACCCTAACATCATCTTTTCTTTAAAGGCAGCCACCAATGTGCCCTCCTCTCTTAGGGATTCTGATACATATTGCTCCTTCAATCAGCAGCTTCTGTATCCCTTAGCAATGTAAGCCCCATTGATTTTTGGACCAATACTTTTGGCTTAGGTACTTCCTACCTTTGATTCTACTTGTCACATTGTCAGAGTATCATGCTTAAATACAGAGAAAATCTCCAAGACAGTGCTCCCTGTGAGTCATTCTCCTGTTAGTCAAAACTGCTCTCACCAGTGTAATGTAAGGTCCAAACACTTATGAGTGAACATTAACAGGCTGCGTTAAACATAACTATTTACACGACCTGGTAAAAGAGATCATTCTGCTGGAACTTTAGAGACTCAGTCTTGTGTTCCACCCTATCACCTTTTACAGAAGCAGCTTACGGCGGCTCTCCGCCTGGTCTCTTGGCAACTCGTGGTGGTGCCTCAACTTGGCTAGTGAGGGGATCCTGCCTGGGCATGTTCCCGAGGTCCTAGGGGAGAGATTGTGGAGCTGACAGCTTCAGCAGCAGCGATGGCATTGCGACCCAACGCAGGAAGAGTGAGCGGTGCGGGAGGTCCCCTAGTATCTGTGGTGTTGAGAACACACGGCTTAAGTCTCTTGGAGAGCAAGATATGCAGAGGATGCATCAAAGACTGTTGAACTTTTAACTTAATTCCTTTATTTTCTAGTTTAAATTAAGAAAGACTTTGATATTAACTATTATCTTATTTCTTTATTTTTCTACTTAGTCTGTGAAGGTAATACTTAACTTTTTAAGTCTGTTTCTATTACTACTTTGTACCTAAGTTTTTGTACCTAGATGGGGAATGGTGAGCCTGTGGAATTCGTTACCACAGGAAGTAGTCGATGCCAAAACATTGAATGCATTCAAGAGGCAGCTAGATATAGCACTTGAGGTGAATGGGATCGAAGATTATGAGGAGAAAGCAGGATTAGGCTGTTGAGTTGGACGATCAGCCATGATCGTGATGAATGGTGGAGGAGGCTCGAAGGTCTGAATGGCCACCTGCTGCTCCTATTTTCTATGTTTCTATGTAGTCACCTTTGTACCTAAGGTGCTGCCATGTGTGGTGACATTAGACACATTTCAGTGTACTCCTAGATTTCTGTACCTGAGTACACATGACACTAAATTTAAATCTAAACATGTTTGTTAGTTATTCTTAGAGTTAAAGTATAGTTAATCCTTTATTTCACACTCAAAATGAGTCAGGTAAGCCACTTGTAAATTGCCAGTGTTCAAAGTGTTGTTTATTGAAGACACTAGTGACTCATGTCAGATTCCTTTGACTGGCAAAGTACATTCTTTGTGGTGAATTACATTTAAATTGCATTCAACCAATCAGTTTTGGATAATTGAGTTTCCTGCCACTAATGGGTGAGTTTTCTGTTTGCTGACCTTCCTGCCACTGATGTAATCGGGATCCATTTTCCTGTTGCTAGGGATGTGACACACAGCCTCTTTGCAATACTGCACCTGGCCACCATTTTTACAGCTCCTCAAATCCATCCCAAGATGTTAGTAATGTCAAAGATGAATCTTCAGAGGAGTATTGATGTCAGCTTGCATGGGACCAGAAAGAGAGTTGAGATGTCAACGTGTAAGTGGAAATGAGGTTAAGGAAGCAGAAAGTGGGACTCATGGATGAAGTAAACTCAAACATTGTTGGGGTCAAATGCCACAATCGGAATTAGAGATGGTTAAAATTTATTACAAATGTGCAGCTGAACTATTCAAACTTCTGCTTATTTCTCTCAAAGTCTCTCTGTCAAAGTCTGCCTGTCTGTTTTTTCCTGTTCCTTGAAGCATCTCTCTAACATCAAGTTTAGCACAGTTTTATTTGTACAAAATTATTAAAAACAACTGACTTCCAAACATTCTTGGTCTTATCTGGTCTGCACATTCTATGCCATTATCTACAGAAAAGCACATCCTATCACATTCACATAGGCAAACAGACTGGTAAAAAGAAAACAGCTTGAGTTTATAAACTACAGTAGTGTAATATGCAGCAACTCTTATCAATAGCTTAATTTTCCATATCATAAGGAAGAGGAGCTAGAGAGAGATGGGATTCCCACACTAAGGACTGGGGAGGAGAGAGGTAATGGTGTGAAGCTTAGTTTAGTGGCAAGGGGAGGGAGACTGAATGGATGCTTACCATCTCATGACAAAGGAACCCATGAGGTCATAGAAGTATGCAGCACAGAAACAGACCCTTCAGCCTAACTCATCCATGGCTACCAGGTTTCCTAAGCTAAACTAGTCCCATTTCGCCCTCTAACCTTCTATACCTTTCCCATCCAAGTACCTGTCAAAATGTCTTTAAATGTTGTAATTGTAGTTAAATGTGAGAATAGATAGCACAGAGAGAAGGGTTTAATGAAGTAGTTGGAGATAGTGAAAAGAACTGGAGGGTAGTGTTTGCTTCCAAGGTGGTTGGAGAGTAGTAGGTGATTTTGGTAAAGGACAGTGAGGCCTGACAGACATTGATATGGTCCAGTCAGATCCAAAATGGATGGTGAAATTATTTGTGCACCAAATACACCAGAGTGTGCATTCCTAGGACTTGAGAGAAAACACAGCCACTTTATTTGTTATGTGTTATAGTTTACTGGTATATATTAGCAAAACAGCAGTTAGCCAAAAATAGAAATTAGTTTTCAGTGGAAATGCTTACTAACATATTTTCAGAGACACAGGTTTTTCCTTATTTATTTCATGGTAAATAAATCTGTAACTGTCCCCATTATTAGTTAGTCTTTGTTTTAATATTTCTCCTCATTGGTCCAGTTAATTCCATCACAGCGCCTGTCGCTTTCGCGAGTTGCTGCCATTTTTCAGAGTGGAAGGACTGGTCCATTGCATTCTGAGACTTCAAAGCAGAAATGTTCTGATTAAACAATTGTATTTCTGAGTAGATTCGAGAAAGTTCTTCCTCCTTACTTGAAAGCTGCATTGAAAAAATTTAAATTTTAAGCAGACGAATGTGATTTTGAAAAACAAATTACTCTATATTTCAGTTTTAATGAATACAATTAAAAAAGAAAACAAACTTTGACACAGAATTTGACAAAGTTAACTCAAATCAAGCAAACTTTAGTGCACAATACTGGTCAATAGCATTACAATATAGTGGACCTAAAGTTTAAATGTAATGGGGTGGGTTTTCAACTTACTATCCACTCTCAATTGTGAACGTGAAAAGTGACATTTGTGATTCTGAACAGAGACAGGCAGGTTTAAAAAAAAGGGCAGAGAAGCCTTCTGGGATTCCTGCACCATTCATGTCACTTGAAAATTTTTCATATTAGCATTGTAATACCTCATGATATGGGTAGCAAGCCTACAAACAGCACTCTCTCGCCTACTGGCTTGATTGACGGTGGGTTTTTAGAACCACTGCCATGTTTCTTTAAAATAATCATTCATGGGGAATGGGTGTCATTGGCTGAGCCATCATTTATTTCCCATCCCTAACCGTCCTTGAGGAGAGTGGTGAGCTAACTTCTTGAACTGCTGTAGACCTTGGGGTGTAGGCACACCCACAGTGCTGTTAGGGAAGGTTTGAGTGGGCAAAAGTGAAGGAATGGACTTATAGATCCCAACCAGGATGGTATGTGGCTTAGAGGGGAACATGTAGCTGGTAGTGTTTCTGTACATCTGCTGCCCTTGTTTGAGGGTTTGGAAGATGCTGTCAGAGAAGTCTGAATGAGTTACTCCAGTGCATCCTGTAGATAATGCATATGCTGCCACAAAATGCCAGTCATGAAGGAAGCGAAAGTGGAAGGCAGTGGATGGGGTGCCAATCAAGCAGGACACTTTGTTCTGGATGGTATTGAGCATCCTGAATGTTGATGGAGCTGCATCCATTCAGGCAAATGGAGAGAGTATTCCATCACTCCTCACTTTGTCTTGTCAATGTTGGTCAGGAATTGAGAAGACAGGAGGCAAGTTACTGGCTGTGGAATTCAGTTTTTGACCTGCTGTTGTAGTCACAGTATGTGTGAGGTGGTCCAATTCAGCGTCTGGTCAAAGGTAACCCCGCCCTTCCCCCGCAGATGATGATTGTGGGGAAATTCAGTGATGGTAATACTACTGAACATTAAAGGACAATAGTTAGATTTTCTGTTCTTGCAGTGGGTTATTGCCTGACACTTTTGTGGCACAAACATTATTTGTCATTTTTTACCTCATGGCTACATGTTGTCCAGGTCATTCTGCTCATAAACATGAGCTGCTTCAGTATCTTGTGATGTAGACTGGAATTTTGGATTTTGAATGAATGTCATATTGGTTTCTCAGTGTGTCTGAATTAATTAATAATTAACTTGAATGTTTCTGAAGCCATTGTGACTTTTCTAAACAAAAAATAATTTATGAGAGCTAGTTTTCAGAACAGAATGGATTTTTATTTACCTTGCGGATTGCGGTTTACAATCAAGCAAGGTAAACAATTATGCCTCATAGATTTTGATCAAAATTTCTGGACTTTTTTTATACTTAGAGGAAACACCTGTAGCTTAGAAAGAGAGACTTCTCAGTGTCACTTTCAGTTTGGGCAGTTCTACCGAAGTTTTCACGAGTAAAGTTGCTCCCGAGAAAGGGAGAAGATATTGTTAGATTTGTTAACACTAGATTACTTAGGGTGAGGAGCTGATGATAGTCCTAGACCAGAAGTGGTTGGATTAAAAGCTTGAAGAGGTTAGTTGAAGCTGAGACCACTTAAACTTAGGTGTATGATATCCCCAGGAAGAAGCTATCAGATTTTCCAGACTGGAAGTTTTCTGGTGTGAGTGCTGTACAAAGGGTGCTTTTGGGTACCAGACAGGGGTGTTTAGGGATCTGTAAAGAAGTGTTTTTGGGATTAATGTGATTATATTTCATCATGTGTTTCAAAATTTTTATGTTTGTGTTTATAATAGTCTGATTTATGCTCTACGTTAATTCCTTTTGCTTAATAAACATCCATTTTATTGTTAAAAACAAAGCTGCAACATTAAGTGCTTATGTTTCAGTCAGAGACCACCTTGTTAAAATCAAAACAAAACAAAATATGACCTACCAAGCCAGATTTCAGTATGGGATCTGACCTGACCAGTAATAACATTAGCTGGGATCGAACCATCTGGGGAGCTGCAAATGGTGGTGAGCATTGTGCAATCATCAGTGAATGTCCCACATTTGAGTGTATGACGGGAGGAAGGTCATTGATGAAGCAGCTGAAAATAGTTCTGCCTAGGACAGTACTTTCTAGAACTCATGCAGAGATGTCCTGCCACTGAGATAACTGACCTCCAACAATTTTTCACTGGAGTATATGCAATTGAAAGGTGACCTTATAGAGGTTTATAAAAGCATGAGGGGCATAGGTAAGATGAATAGCAAAGATATTTTCCTAAGGGTTGGGGATTTCAAGACTAGAGGGCATATTTTTAAGATGAGAGGAGAAAGATGTAAAAGGAACCTAATGAGAAACTTTTTCACTCAGATCAGATTAGAATGAATTGCCAGAGGAAGTGGTAGATGCAGGTACATTTACAACATGTAAAAGACATTTGGACAGGTACATGAATAGGAAAGGTTTAGAGGAATATGGGCCAAATGCAGGCAAGTGGGTCTAGTTTACTTTAGGAAACTTGGCCAGGGGCTAGGACATGATCAGTCCATTTTTTTGGGGTGGCCAGGATCAGTGGTACCATATTACACCACATTGTTAGGCCACGGTGAGTCCTGCAAGTCCAGTGCAACCAGTTTGAAGATTAGCAAATAAAAACCGAAAGAACTGCGGATGCTGTAAATCAGGAACAAAAACAGAAGTTGCTGCAAAAGCTCAGCAGGTCTGGCAACATCTGTGCAGAGAAATCAGAGTTAATATTTTAGGTCCGATGGCCCTTCTGTTTTTGTTGTTAGCAACATTAGTTGGGATGCTGCACAGAGATCAGTCAAGAGTCTGGGTATTCATGAGCTTAGGTGTGCGCTAGTTATACAGGAAACTGATTCATTAGCCAAGAGATTTCAGGACAATTTTCTCCTGATTATACACCACTGTGTCGCCACCTCTGGTTGGGCAGGATATAGCAAGAGATGATGATATCTGGGACATAGTCATACTCACAGAATCATATCTTACAGACAATGGGACAGGTCTCCCATTTTGGCACAAGCACCCAGAGGCTAGTTTGGAACGCATTTCTGTTGACATTGTCCTTGTCATTTTTCAATGTCTAGATTGATACTGGGTTATCCATTCTGTTTTATTCTTTGTTTCAGATTATACATTGGTTTTGATACAACTGAGTGGTCAGCTAGGCCATTTCAGAGAGCAGTTTAAGAGTCAATTACAATTCTGTGGGTCTGAAGTCATACATAGGCCAAACCAGAGTTCCTTCCCTAGAGGATATCAGTGAACCAAACAGGCTCTTAACTAATCAATTAGGCTAACATGATTGCAATTAGATGAGCATTTTAATTCACTCAGAGATAGTAAGAACTGCAGATGCTGGAGTCAGAGGTAAAACTGCGTGGAGTTGGAGGAACACAGCAGGCCAGGCAGCATCAGAGGAACAGGAAAGCTGACGTTTCGGGTCGGCACCCTTCTTCAGAAAAACGGTCCCAACCCAAAGCGTCAACTTTCAAGGGTCCCTACCTAAAACGCCAACTTTCCTGCTCCGCTGATGCTGCCTGATCTGCTGTGTTCCTCGAGCTCCACGCTGTTATTTCTGAACATTTTAATTCATGGTTTTTGATTCAATTTAAATTTCATGATCTACTGTGATGAGATTCAAACTCCTGTCCTGAGAGCGTTAGCCTGGTGCTCTGTATTACTACCCAATAAAATCATCACGATGCTACCACCTCCCTTTCAGGATTCAGGCCTGTTTTGGTCGAGAGCATGGTTCATGACAGCTCAAAGCAGCTGTGAAAAATGGGAATGCTAGTCTGAAGTTGGGCATTTTTTGAATTGCATATATGCAGTTACTAACTTTTCATGTCGTACTGTAAATGGTTTGTGATAAATTGATTATTTTCCTAATAGACTGAATTTTAATTGTGCTTTGTTTTGAAAAGTGACAAATAAAATGAACTGGCATTATGAAAGTGGAATAGTCTTCAGGTGCATTGTAGTACATTATGACTGATTAAAGCACCCTTTGGCATTGAATAGTTTTGGGCTTCCAGTTTCTCTATGTCAACTAGCCTTCTATTATCGAGTGACAGGTCAGCCATCTGCTTAGTTTTGAAGTCAGGAACAGTAAATTAGTGTAACATCTTCAAAGTCGTTAATAATTCTCTGCCCTGGAGGCTTTGTTGACACAGTTGTGGAATGGAATTTCATTATCAATGCTTGGTTGAACATTAAATCCCAATGATAGTTTCAGCTCAGCAAGGGTTGTTGTTATACCTATCAAGAGTACCATGAGTTTTATTCTGATTGATTAGAGGATTAGGTTTATTGATGAGATTTTTAAATGCTTGTTTTATTTTGACAGTTTTGTGAATATGATTAAAATAATAAGTGAAATTTGAATAACTATGTTTGAACTAGTTTTATGTACTCCTGTAAGGGCTCAGAGGAGGAGCAGCAAGGCAGATTGGGAGGGGACAGTGAATGAGAAAGGTGAGGTGTAAAACATTGAATGGAGTACGGTTTAGGGTTAGGGAGATAGAACTGGTGAATGGGAAGAAGCAAGGGGTTTCGGAGTGGGAAGTGGAGAGCAATGGGGAGTAATAGTGGCTATAAGCACAGGGCAGGAAGAGGTGAGTTAGGGCAAGTAGTAAGAGTATTAGGTCAGAAAAAGCAGCAAGTTGACACAGTATTTTGGACCGATTAGGTTCAATAGGTTTTTGATGTAAAAATTGCAGTCAGGAAGTTAAGCCACTCTTGTTGCATGTTTTCACATGTGAAAGTGATTTTCGTTTAGCATGCTGTTTTTAGGAACACATCAGGAGCTCCAAATGAAGGGTAACTGTTTCCAGTTCATATGTCACTGAGCACACATTGAATAACCCAGGAGATAACATTCAATACCAACTTAAAATTTAAGAGTCAAACATGGAGTTTAAAAGAATAAGAGATGACGTAATTGAAGCACTTTATATACTAATGGATTGTGACAGGGTAGATGTATAGAGAAGTTTCTTCATAAAGGAGAATCTATCAGTAAGGAGTTGCTTTTTAAAAATGAGGTTGCCCATTTTAAACAGAGACCGAGATTACAGGGTTGTGAAACTTCTCAGTCTACAATGATCCTTGTTGATGAAAATGAATTGCTGACAGCCGTTGTCTGATGGAAAAGTCTTCAACTCTGTTTGGAGGAAATCAAGCTGACTCCAAGTCTTTGGAAACTGATCAAAGTTTAGTTTCTTAGGGCTTACAAGTGAGTCAAACTACTGAAACGTAGAAACTTTATTAAGTTCCTGAATACTTCAACTAAGAGAAGAACAGAGCCTTGCAGGCTTACTGCAACTCTAGAGGCTTTCTAACTTATGATTTCCTATGTTACTCAAACAGAAACCTACTCTGGAAGTGGTTGCAAGGCAATCATCAGCACACAGATCCCATAGTCTCTTCTAAAGCTAGATTGCCAACAATTCAGGACAGAAACCCTATCTGTCATCTCCTGAAAAAGATTTGCTTGGCTATTTTTCAAAGTCACACTGTAATCAGCTGTTGGATTGCAGCCTGATTAAACTGTTGACATCATTCCCAAGAAACCATTTTAGTTCCCTCTAACATTAATTAAATACCATGTTTAATCCAAAAAGAGTCCAAACCTGCAAGGAAATTTGAATGAGGTGCAATAACTACCAAATAGTCATTATGAGACAGACTTTAATTATTCTCTTATTGAAAGGGATAGTAATAGTACAAAGGGCAGAGAAGGGGAGACTTTTGAAAGTGTTTTGGGAAAATTTTCTACATCAGTCTGTCCCTAGTTCAATAAGGAAAGAAGCACAGAACCATTACGGTGCAGAAAGAGGCCATACATTGTGTCTTTGCTGGCATTAAACCAAACTACTCTAAGAACCACTCTCCTGCTTTTGTAAACTTGTGCATAGTTTTTCTACTTAAATAATCATCTAATGCCCTCTTGAATACATCCATTAAACCTACCCCTACCTGAGGCTCCAACTACTCTTTGTGAAAAGTTGTTTCCCACCTCACGTTCTTGTCCCTTGAAGTCTGTTCTGAAGTCAATTGATTACTCGTAATCTGGATTGATTGATGTAATTTCCATCCCTCATCCTGAACTTTACGACGCAATGATCAATCCCCTAAATGCTCCCCCATGGTCACTTTATCTACTTGACCCAACATATTCACAAGAACTGTGTCGAACAGTGGCTCCTTTCTTGTTGGGCTGGACTCTTGCTGCAGTAGGAAATTCTCCTGAACATAATATAAGAATGTTTTTCCTCTATTGCCCTTTATATATTGACTGGTATAGTGGTGGCATAAGTAATTAATGTTCCACATTATAACTTCTCTATGTTTACATCTTCCTATAATTCTCTTGGTTCTTTGGAAATAGGTGCGTCAAGTGGATCAAGTGTCATAAAGGGAAATTTATGGGATGTTGATTATAATAATCAGAATTTTTAAATTAGCTTTGGGAAAGTAAAGACAGGAATTCGCAGGAAGATTTAACTGGAGGGAGGAATAAATCCAATGCGGTGAGAATGATTCAGGCCCAGATAAAATCAGAATCAAAAACTGACAGGCCCAACTGGAATGGAACAAAACACTGCCTTTAAAGAAAGGAGTGTTCAGTTCCCACAATCAGGAAAAATATGACCATCAGCACCTTGGATTATGAAAGAGCTAGGAGAGGTAAGCTGAAGCAGAAAAAGTATATGCATGATAGAGTCCAGTTTGGTAATACAAGGAAGAAACAGGCTGAATATTAAATGTTCGATTTGAAAATGGAAAATGAAACAAAAGCACAGTAGACAGAAAATGAGACTGGAACCTAACATAAAAGTGAATCCAAATGTTCTCTAGCAGCACATACATAGTAACCATGCATTCACAACTACATTTTCAAAGGAAGGCAAAAGGAGGACTGGGGTTATTCAGGTACCAAAAAAATGGAGTTACACATGAATGCAGAGCGCATAGCTTGAGATAATAAATGAGTACTTTGTCTCTGTGTTCACAAAGGACACAGTGTCACAGTGAAAGATGAGGTAGTTGAGACAGTAGATACATTGAAAATTGAGAAAGATAAGTTGTTAGAAAGGCGGATAGAGATTAAAATTGGTAACTCTCCAGGACTAGATCAGATGTCTCGATGGATACCGAAAGAAGTAAGAGAGGAAATGATGCAGAGAACAGCTAAGTTTTCTAATCCTGCCTGGATACAGGGAGGTGGTACTGAAGGATTGGAGAACTGCAAATGTTACACACCAGTTCAGAAAGTGTGCAAGGATAAACACAGCAATTATGTGCCAATCAACTTAATCTTTGTTGTGGGCATGCTTTTCAAAGCAATAATCAAGAATAAAATTAACATAATTTGGACAAATGTGGATTAATTAAGGAAAGCCAGCATAAATTTATGAAGGGCAGATAGTGTTGATGAAATCTGATTAGGTTTTATGATAAATTAGCTCTGGGGGTATTGAAGGTAGTATGGTTGATGGACTTCTTTTAATAAGGTGCCATTTAACAGGTTTGTGAACAAAGATGGAAGCCTGTGGAAAGAGGAGGATGGGAAGGATGGATAGAAATTTTGGTCAATGACGGAGAACAGAAAAATAGTGGTGAATGATTATTTGAGAGTTGAGGAAGCTGTGCAGTGGGTTTCCCCAGAACGTTGGAATTAGGACATCTACATTTCTTGAACCAGATTAATAATCTAGACTTGGGAGTGCAGGAAACCATTTCAGAATTTGCAGATGACATAAAACTTGAAAGCACTGTGAACTGTGAAAAATCTTGCGATAAATTTCAACAGGAGATAGAGGCTTTTACGATAGGTGGACGTGTGATGAATGTAATTTAATGCAGGGCAGTGTGAAGTGATATATGCTGGTAGGAAGAATAAAGAAAAACAATTTTAAAAGAAAGGCACAATTGTACAAACATACAAGATCAAAGAGACCTGCTAGCTAAAAAGTTGGTTGGGTTACAGTCAAAAGGCAGGAGAGTAGGATTAGCTGAGTAGCCCTTACAATGAGCTGATACAAACACCGTGGTTGAATAGCTGCACAGCAGCCATTCTATGATTTGACACTCAACACTTGAAACTAGTGGGATGAATGTGCCCTCTAGTGTTTCCATTGTCCCCCTTAAAAATCCAACTGACTACTAGTATAATTACCACCAGTCTCTCACCAGGAGGTGAGATTACTGGGAGATTTAAAATTAATGGCAAGTAGAAAGGGAAAGATGCAGAAAAGTGATTTAAAATGTACAACTGTTTACATGTTCAGATGAACAGTAAAGCATTTACTACTTTTGCTGCCCTGTTCTCATATTCAAACAAAAATAACCACAACATATCATTAATCTTCCATCATAACCAACAATGCAGAAAGACTGTCAAGCTGAAAATCAACTGCAATAAACTCTTTTAAATCAATAGAAGTATGGGTGGTTAACTTGACATCTCTTTCAAGCTATTGCTTAATGCAAGTGTCACAGCCTGGTGTGAAGAAAATGAAGATTATGTGCTGCCTTGGTAAAACCATGATTTATTTGAATTAATTTTAAAAATTAGACAACATAGCAGTTTCCAGAATTCGACATTACTTCCAGTAACAAACTAGCAACAGTTTTTTTTTGCAATCTTGAGGCTGAAATTCATTTAATTCTAGCCTGCAACTGGTTTTAGCCACAGCTGTTCAAGTACTGACAGTGTCCCAAATTCCAAGAACTGTGCTGCCAGTATCAGGGACAAGAATCTGTGCCATTTACCACATTCTCTCGGAGCAATGAAACTCAGGCATGTTGTAACTTTATTACTGGGGGTGGATGGCGGTGTTGAAGGAAGGCTATTAGGCATCAAGATAATCAAAGAAGTTGAAACAGTTCAGGGGTATTATTCTATTCATTCTTAGGATGTGGCTATTGCTGAAAATTAATTGCCCTGTCTGGGAGGGAGAGAGGCCATGAGATAGAGAGGGTGTGTAAGTCAGCAAGGGAGTGACAGAGAGAGAGAGAGAGAGAGAGTTTGAGAGAAGGAGGAATTGAGGGAAAGTATGTGTAACTCTGAGTCTGAGTGTAAGTCAGACACACACCCCCACTCTCACTTGCCTGTATCATCCTCATTCCCTCCTTAAAAACCTATCCACGAAGCAGACTGGGACAGGAAGAAAACCCAGGCTAAAATGCAACCCCTGCTCCTAACCCCTACTTTTGTATGAATTCTGCTGAGGTCAGTTCAGAGTATTTGTTTTATTCATTCACTGGAAGAGAGCGTCTCTGGCTAGGTCAGCATCAACTGCCTATTCCAGAGGACAGTTAAGAGTCAGCCACATTGCTGTAGATAATGCAGCTCCCTGGTGGTCTAGTGGTTAGGATTTGGTGCTCTCACCACAATGGCCTGGGTTCAATTCCCGGTCAGGGAAAAAATGTTTTGGGGTGGCGTGGTGGCTCAGTGGTTAGCACTGCTGCCTCACAGTGCCAGGGACCCGGGTTTAATTCCAACCTGGGCAACTGTCTGTGTGGAGTTTGCACATTCTCCCCGTGTCTGCGTGGGTTTCCTCCCACGTACAAAGATGTGCAGGTTAGGTGGATTGGCTATTGTAAATTGCCCATAGTGCCTAGGACAGGAAATGCAGGGATAGGGTAGGGGGTGAGTCTGGGTGGGATGCTCTTCGGAGGGTCAGTGTGGACTCAATGGGCCAAATGGCCTGCTTCCACATTGCGGGGATTCTAAGGAAAAAATCTGGAATCATATGTAGGCCAGTCCAGATGAGGATGGCAGTTTCCTTCCCTAAAAGACAATTGACATGGATTAGCAGCATCGCACACTGTTTGGCATTTATTTTCACCAGCTTGGTACCTAATTTCTCGTTATGTCCAATACTGTTCCTGAAGTGCCCTCATGCACACTCCTTCAAACTGCATTGATCTCCCAACTTAATAGTAATGGAGGAGTTTGGCCATGGTCCTACAGCTTGTAGTTGAATGTAATTCTGCTACTGCTGATGGTCTACAGCATCTCGGATGCCCAGTTTGATTTGCTAGGTCTATTCAAAACCTATCCTATTTGGGACAGTGCCAATGCCAGACAAAATGTTGGAGAGTATTATCAATGTGGCAACAGGTCCTCACCTCCTCAAGGATGGTACAGTAGTCATTCCTACCAATACTGTCACACAGACAGATGCATCTGTGTTTGGTAGATTAATGAGAATGAAGTTAAGTAGGTTTTTTCCCCACTTGGTTCCCTAAGATCTGCTACAGATCCATTCTGACAGCTGTTTCCTTTAGAACTTGACCAGGTCTGTCAGTGTGGTTCTATCAAGCTTCTCTTGGTGATACTCTCAGAATATATTCTAGTGAGGGACTTCAATATTCCTTTCAAATGGTCAAGAAGCGCATGGTGGTAAACAGCAGGAGGATTATTTTGCCTATGTTTCTCCTGGTAGCATGAGACACAATGGGGTTTGGAGTCAATATTGAGGTCTTCTAGGGGAACTCCCTTTCTGACTGTATACCACCGTTCCACAATCTCTGACGGATTTGCCCTGCTCGTGTCTGTAAGATCTGTCAGGCAGATGTTTTACTAGTCTGTCAGCTCTGCCAATTTTGGTACATGCATCTACATGTTAATGAGATGATTTTGCAAAGTTGTCAGTGCTGTACGTATATCTGTTATTTCTGGCATCTAGGTTGATGCTGTGTTCAAGTTTACCCATCTTTGACTTTTTGTTGTATTTTGATACAATTCAAATGGCTTTCTAGGCCATTTTAGAGGGCAACTGATAGTCAGCCATATTTATATGAGCACGGAGTTACATGCAAGTCAGACCAGTTAAAGATGGCGGATATCCTTCCCTAAAGATCAATGGTGAACCAGATTGATTTTAAATGAAATCTGGTATTCATGGTCACCATGACTCTCTTTTAAATCCACATTCATCTAAGTAATTGAATTTAAATTTCTTAGCTGCAGGGTTGAATTTGAGTGCACGACTCAGGATCATTAGTCCAGATTATTAGTCGAATGTCTTCTGAATGCAGATATCCACAAAGTTTTGAATTCCAATAGAAAAGTGGGTAAGTACTAGAAGCTCTGAAGATGGGTTAAATTTTATTTCCTCGTCTAACTTGTAAAACAAATGAAATAAAGCTAATGAAATAAAAAAAAGCTTGAATTATCATAAGCCCTTTTAGCTTTACTTTCAACTTTACCTCTACCAGACAGAACCTTAAAAGAAAACAGGTTCCGTCTGCATTTAGCTGTGATCCTGTATCTTCAAGTTTGAAATTTATCCAGTAACTTTAATGGCCTCCAATTAAGTAGTTGTCAGATGTGGAGATAGCAAGAACTGTAGATGCTGGAGTCAGAGACAACACAGTGTGGAGCTGGAGGAACACAGCAGGCCAGGCAACAGAGGAGTAGGAATGCTGACGTTTTGGGTCGGGACCATTTTTCAGAAATGGGGAGGGGCAGGGGAGCTGGCAAATAGATACAGAGAGGTGGGGTGGTGATAGGTGGGCGCAGGTAGGGAGTGGTAGGGATTGGTCAGTGGGAAGGGTGGGGTAGATAGGTGGGGAAGAAGATGGACAGGTTGTGTCAGGTCAAGGAGGTGGGGATGAGACGGATGTCTGGACGTGGGATGAGGCTGAGGGTGGGGAGATTTTAAAACTGGTGAATTCTGTGTCAGATGTGGGAAAGTTCATTTCTTTTCAGTTTTGATCCACTGCTCGATAAATGTTGGAAATGTTTTGTTTAGTACAATGCTGTGTCTGACATTAAAAAGTACATTGACAAACTGATTTTATTTTCTAATCTGCTCTATTCTGTAAACCACTTTGGAGTTTTCAAACCAGAATGGTGGAAATAATAAAGGCTAATGTTCATGTCTGCTGATAGCTCATTATCATTGATCTTTCACTTCTATGAAACCTTCTGTATTATTGATGCTAAGTGAACAGATTGCTTAAATCAAGCAAGGACTAACCCTCGACTTGCATGTTGCCAGTTGAAGTTTGTTCTTTGAATTGTATTTTACATTCAAAATGACTGGAATTTCAATATCAGCTTTCATAACTTGAAGCAGGTTGTGTACAATAATGTTTGATTCTAAACCATTTAGAAGTTAAGATGAATGGTTCTGAGCTCCGAATTTCCTTTGTAAATCTGTTGTTAATAATATCAAATTTTCCAAATATTGGAGGTTAGGAATATAAAATTAATCCAAAACAATTTCTAATTCTGCATCCAATTGTCAGTATAAGTACAGCCAGGTGCAGGGTAACATAGGTTAGACAGAATGGAGCAGAATCTGTGAATGGTTTAGCACAGAGGGGGCATTTGTGCCAACTCTCTGCAAGAGCAATTTTGTTGGTCCTCTTCCCTACCCTTCCCCCAAAGCTCCATAAAAAACCTCTTAAAATGCTTATCCAATTCCCTTTTGAAAGCCGCAACTGAATCTGCCAGCACCAGCGTATTAGGCTGTGTATTCTAGATCAATACCATCCACTCCTTTAAAACTCCCTACATAATTAATCAGGACGAGCAACTGAAAAATGCTGAGGAAAAAATAAAGAAAATAGTGACCATAGATCAATTTAGCTCACTGGAAACAACAACAAAAAAAACCCTAAAAATCCTCAGTCCTAGTCAGAGTCATACAGCACAGAAACAGACCCTTTTGTCCAAACAGTCCATGCTGAACATAATCCCAAACTAAACTAGTCCCATCTGCCTGCTCCTTGCCCATACTCCTCCAAACATTTCCTATTCACGTACTTGTCCAAATGTCTTTTAAACGTTGTAATTGTACCCACATTCACCACTTCCTCAGGAAGTTCATTCCAGACATGAACCCTTCAATTAATTCACAAAATAATAGGACAGAAGTCACATCATTTGTGATCTAACCACTGATGTTTATTTTTAGAAACTGAGAATGGGTTGACAGAGCATGGAAAAACGTTAAAATAAGTGACAACCGAAGTGAAGTGTTTGATATAACTTAAGATGGAATTGGATAAGTTGCTGGATATAAATGTCATGAGGTACAGTGAGGGAACAGAAAAATAGGATCAGTTCTGGTTGACGAGCTAGCATTCACACAAGATAGACAGCTAAATGATCTCTCTGTACTGTATTACTCTGGAAGGCAACCTAAATTGCAAGTGCATGTTTCATGACTACATTTTTAAAATTAATTTTGATATCACTTCTAGTGGATAGCAACAAAAGCACAGGGTGGCTAAATAGATTCTAAGATGCTGTCACAATTTTCAGATTGCAATTGGCTTCTAATATAAACCAACTGGAAATTAATTGGAAATTAACTCATTTTCCAGTGATCTCCAACCTGCCCAACCCGTTTAACAAAACCAGATATTGCTGCTCAGGTGTGTCTGAGTCTATCACAAAATTAGAATGCAAAATAAAAACAGGAAAGACTGGCAGAGACAGAATTCAAGTTTAAAGACAGTGGCCTTTCAACAGAAAGGAAGGAACTTGTTAATTTTAAATTATTGCAGGGAGTGAATAGTTAGCTGAAGAAGCAAATACCTGCTTCTGTAAATCAGTGATAAGATCAACTAGAAGTGCTTTGTCCCTTCGCAGCTGCAGGTTCTCTTCTTCACCACTTGCAAGTCAGCCCTCTGTCTCAGCTATACGACTGCGCACAGTGGCTTCATTCAGTTTAATCGAGGTCTTCCTTTCTTCAAGGAGCAGAATCTCAGGGAAATTATTCAAAACATGATTAGAATCAGCTCTAAAAATTCTAGTTTTCTCAAACCATCTTACTACAGATGATCAACAATGTTCAATTTAACTGTAGATACAGAATGGTTGGGGATATTACACTGATAAGCAAAACTCGATGCTGTTTTAAACTTTCTTTCATATTTTAGTCCATTTTAGGAAAGGAATTAAAAATCACAGCATCACCAGAGGATGAATGAGAGTAAATTGAGTATTGTTATGAACCCAAATCCATGTAATTATGGTGCAGAACCAGCATTTTCTCAAAAATTCATATGTACCTAGTTTGTATTAAAACATTGGTACGTACCAATTTTCTGATTGTTTACAAAAACAGAGTTGCTGGAAAAGCTCAGCAGGTCTGGCAGCATCTGTGAAGAAAAAAAATCAGAGTTAACGTTTCAGGACCAGTGACCCTTCCTCAGAACGTCACTTCAAAGACATCTCCAGTAAAATCCTCTACTCCTTTACAAAGTCTTTTTTGCGCATGAGCAGGACTATTTCATATGCATTTCCAACAGTGATGTCAGGTAATGTTTTGCTTGGCTGTAACACCTCAAAATTTAGGCACATCACGGCCTTGAGTTACCTTGGGAGATTTCTGGGAGTTCTATAACTATTTACTTTGCAATTCAAATAAAGTTACTAATACTGCATTGTGTATGTAAGGTCCTGGCTCCTTGTAACCTATGCAGCGAGAAAGACAAAACAGCTAAAATGGCTTTTTCCAATGGGATCACCCATTTTGCACAACAACACAAAAAAGGTACAGAAATGTCAAGAAGCTCTTGACAGTAAGGACCCTTGGCAGAGGGCAGCACTTGCTATTACCCTTGTTGGATATGCAGACTTTTTGCTGATTTAACTTTATTTTTATTTTCTGTAACTCAGTGGAAATTTATGGAGCTATATTCTGGATAGCAAGATTAATATAGAACAAAAACTGAAATTGCTGGAGAAATTCAGCAGATCTGGCATCATCTATGGGAAGAAAGCAGAGTTAACATTTTGAGTCTGGTGACTCTTCATCAGAACCGTCAGTAGGTAAGAAGACATATCTAGAAGACATTCTTGGAACCCAGAAATAGTTATATAGCTCCAATCTGGACTCTTCTACCAGGCAAACCTTTTACACTAAAAATATACAGAAGGCACAGCACAAAAGATGACCATTCCACCTGATAAGTCCATTTATACATTTACCAGCCTTGAATAAACACAATTCAAATTCCATTTATCTCCCCTCTTTCTTCTTTCAATTATAGTTTCCTTCTTGTCTAATTTTGAAAGTTGACAGTTTTTGACTCAAACGGTAACTTTAAGCATAAGGTAAACCTGGTATAGGAGTCCATTTTCGAGATAAGTAGCCAGTTTTGTGTTGGATAATAGTATATCAGTGAGAAGACAGTGAATTGACATTGAGATGTGACACTAATCAATATACTGATTCTAGTAAGCTTATTTTTCCTTTGAAAGAAATTAACTGCAGAGTTTACTACTTTGTATTCATTATTTTTGCATTAACTCTACCTTTTCCATTAGTTCCTTAAATTTTATTTTCTCAATTTCTAGGAGTTCCTTATGTCTCTTGACTTCATAGTGCAGTTGTTCCTCTCGGCCTTTTACAGTGATCAGTTGAATTACACTGGAAGTACGGCAAATATCCATCTCCTCTTTCAGCATTCTCTCCTACAACACACTGAAGAATGACATTATTGGTATTATTGATATTACTTGTTAAAGGAGAATCAGAATTATGCTATTATTCTCGCCATTTGCAATACAGGAAGAGGTTTGCATTTACAAACATTGAACTGCGCTTCACATAGACAATTACAAAATAAAATTTAGTACGAAGCCACATGAGGAAACAGTGATGTAAATGACCAAAGAGGTCAAAGAGGGAGGCTTTTAGGAGAGTCTTAAAGAAGGAACACAAGGAAGAGAGCTGGAGAGGTTTAGGGAGGGACTTCCAGCATTTAGGGCCTAGACTACTGAAGGCACAGTCATCAGTCGCACAGCAAATAAAATCAACGAACTGCAGAGGCCAGAATTAGGACAATGCAGATACCCAGGACAGTTGTGGAGCAGGATGAGTGTAGGTAGATAGTGAGAAAAGTGAGGCCATGGAAGGGTCTGAGAACATTAAAATCAAGGCGTTAACTGGAGCAAATATACGTGAGCAAGTACAAGAGTGATGGGTGACTGGAAGCTGGTGTAAGTTGGGATGTGGGCAGCAGTGTTAAGTATGAACTTATATTTATGGAGGGCAGATAGTTAGTGGCTGATAAGGGTTGACTGGAATCATCCAGTCTTAGTCAAGTCTGGAGGTAACAAAGGCACAGACTAGGATTCCAACAGGATGAGAACAGGCCAAGTTAAGGAGGTGGAAACACATGCTCCTCATTATGACATGAATTTAAAAGTAAAAAATTTCATCCCCAGGTCAGGTATGTCCCAGAGACTGTGAACAATCTGGTTTATTCTGAAACCGTTGCCAGTGAGAGGGATGGAATTGATGATGTGGCAGGTGAATTTGTGGCAGGGACCAAGGACAATTATTTCAGTCTTTCCAATATTTAATGAGAGGAAGTATCTGCACATCTGGATCTCAGACAAGCAGTTTGACAATTTAACATCAGATTGAGAGAAGTGACAATGAGGTCGAGTCTTCAGCTGTTAGCATGCACGTGGAAACTGATGTGTGTTTTGGATGTTGTCACCAAAGGGCAGCATATAAGTGACAAATCAGAAGGGACCAAGGTTAAATCCTTTAACTGGTAGAGTGGGAAGAGAAACCATTGCTGGAGATTCTCCAGCTATGATTAAATAAATAAGAATGGAGCCAAGTGAAAAATGAGGAAGGACTGCTTACCTAAATCACCACTGGATTGGATGATATTGGTGAGTTTTAAAAAAAAGCCATTTCAGTTCTGCAGAAAGGTGGAAATCTTTTTGGAAGAATTCAAAAATGTGGAGTTTCAGCAAAGCTGGGAATAAATTTGGGAGGCAACAGTAGTTTCAAGGATTAGAAGAAAGGGAGGTTGGAGATGGGATGGGAAATAGCAAAAGCAGAGGAGTTAAGGATAAGATTTTGAGGAGAAGGGCGATATTGACATGTTTGAAAGAGAGAGCTTGCTCCCGAAGAAAGAAGGCTGTAAACAAACTCAGTAAGCATGAAAGGAAAATCTAACTAGAAATACAATCGTTTGAAACATGTTCCATACCGTAGGTGGTAAACATACAATGGGGAGCGGTACCAAGACACATAAATTGATCCCTTCAGTTAAATGATCTCAAACCAGGTCATCATCTTCTGTGTCTCTGGGCTTGGGATTATAAAATCTGATAGTTTTTCACACTTTGATTCACAAAGGTGCCAACAGAGGTGCAAAAAAATATCAACTACAGAATAGGATTTAGGTTTGCCCGTGAGGTTTTGCACAATAAAATGGGTAGCTGGGGGTTAATGGCATGAAAATAGATGAGATATGCTGGTGCTGTTTCTTTTAGGAAAGAGAACATTGAGGTGGGACCTGATTGGGGTGTGCAAAAAGTTTAAGGAGCACAGAGAGGGTGGATAGGAACAAATGTTTCTACTTACTAGAGGGTTCGAGAACCAGGGGCATTGATTTAAGTTCAGGGGCAAAAAGGTTTAAGAGGGGATTTCTGGAAGAATGCTTTCAGCAGAGGATGGTGGATATCTGGAATTCATTGTCTGAAAAGGCAGTCCAGGTATAGACCCTCATAAAGTGTAAGATGTATTTAAATGAACACTGGAAATGCCACAGCGTACAAGGCCTCAAGCCAAGTACTGAAAAATAGGACTAGATAGGTACTTGATGATAGAAACAATGGACTGAATGGCCTCTATGTATGCTACAAAAGTCTATGACTCCATGCCTTTATTGAAATATAAAAGATTCTGAGCAGTCTTGATAAAGTGGACATGGAAAAGATGTTTCCTCTTGTAAGTGAGTCCACAACTAGGGGACACCATTTAGAACTTAGGACTCAGCCTCTCGGGACAGAGATAATGGAGAACCTTCTGTCTCTGAAATGGCTATGCAACTTTGGAACTCTCAACGGAGGTAGATTCTGGTTATGCAAGGGAATCAAAGTTTAAGTTGAGGGGGGGTGCGTGTGGAAGGTAGGAATGTGGAATCTGATAAAGAAACAGGTCAACCATGGCCTTATTGAATAGGAGCACCGGCTCGAGGGTCTGAATAGCCTACTGTTACTCCTGGTTCATATGTAGTGGCAGCTCTGGGAATGGCAGTGTCCCCTCTACCACATAGTATGGGCAGCTTAACTCATTGGCTTCCCACTACCCACCTAAATGTGTGGCACAGTAGCTTCTAGCATTGCTGCTTCACAGTACCAGGGACCTGGGTTCGATTCCGCCTTTGGGTGACTGTCTGTGGAGAGTCTGCACGTTCTCCCCGTGACTGCGCATGTTTCATTTGAGTGCTTTTGTTTCCTCCCACAGGCCAAAATGTGCAGGTTAGGTGGACTGGCCACGGCCATGCTAAATTGCCCATAGTGTCCAGGGATGTGCAGGATAGGTGGGTTAGCCTAGAGAAATGCAGGTTTACAGGGACAGGGTAGGGTGGGTCGCTCTTCAGAGGGTTGGTATGGACTCGATGAGCTGAACGGCCTGCTCCCATTGTAAGGACTCTATGATTCTAAAGGATGGCCTGCTTCTTTAGCAGTGACAAGGTTAGTCTCATCACATGATGCTCTGAGAAAGTTGGGCCTTCATTTGTTTCTGTGGAAGTTAGATATTTTCTTTATCAACCTGTTCAGAGATGTTAATACATAACTGTGGAGCAGATGTGATTTGAACCCAGGCTCAGAGGTAGGGACACTATGACAGCATTAAAAGAACCCCTCCCTTTCGAAGGTACTATTCTGCTGCACATTGTAAAACTCAACGGAACAATCACACATCATCCTCACCATTCAACAGCTCTCTGGGTCCCTTTCCTGCAACTAAAAGACATTTTCATTTCCTGCTTGGCCTTATCCTGACCATGTGATCCCACGTTATTTGCATGTGTTTTTCAATTTGTTGTTTGTTACCATAAAGATAATATTGCATATAATAATTTAGAGGCATGCTGAACTTTATAAAACATCTATTTCAAAACATTTTGAGAGATTTTAAAGTTGATTAATGAGTTTGTTTTGTCTTCGGTTTTCTTTTGCAAATATCAGTGAGTAAATTATTAGTTGGAACATTACTAAGTCAATTTTAAACTTGTTCTGTCAACTATGCCACTTCAAATTTAATGGATGATTAACTTTAATCAAACGTAACTGAAACTAGTCACTTATCTGAGAGCGGCATTTTACCTTTGGACGTTGGGATAGTTGGATAAACAAAAGTCAGAAGCCTGTATTGTGTGGGCAACAGTTGCCTAGCTATGATTTACCCCAAATTAGCCACTTTAGTGGTCAGAAGCTAGATCTACTGTCCAATTACGGTCCTTAGATGCAGAGGGCCAACAGGAGGCCCAACAGCACTGAAGAAGTGCAGCAGACTGGCTTCTCAGGGAAGCGGGAAGGAGGGTCCCCTGAGGTTGGAGGCATCCTCTCTTCAAATTTTTGAAGGTTTTAAATTAAAAAAGAATCAGAAGTCAGATCACCAAAGGAGGAGGGTTGGGAGGGATGGGGTGTGCAGGGAAGTCATGCACAGTAAATTGCTGCAGCTGAAGCCAGGCAGACAGAGTGAGTCTCTAAGCTGGACAGTTGTGCTGGGAGGCTGCCCTGACCTTTTTGGGGACCTTGTGGGGTCTATGAGTTCAGCTTCTAGTTTCAAACACTGAATTTTGCACAAGATGACTTTTTACATACCCTTTCCAATTGTTTATTAAGCTCAAGAGTCTGTGAACATAGCACAGCATTCTCCTTGGTCATAGTAGCATGGTCATCTGCTATTTTATTCCTGAGGAAGCGGTCGTGCTCTCTCATTACCTCTTTCTCACGGAGTTGTTGGCGAAGATGACGGATCTCATCTCTGGAGGAGCAAATAACATCATAACATTTTATAATTGCACACATCATTGCAATACATTGTCAAAAACATTCTGACAAGAGTAGTCACTGATACCAAGCTCAGACTGGTGTAGCTGGGCCCCTTTAAGGCCTTCACTTATTTCTCTCAGTTCACAATTCTTCATATCGTTTACACCATCCTCTGGATCATTAGGTGAGATAGCAACAAGCCTTTCATCACCAGAACATTGGTTTATACATACTTGTTGCTAATCGGTGAAAAATCTCGACAGGCTTTTAACTGATCGCCAATTATCTTACTTTAAATTTTCAAATATCCTACGGCTCAACGACATGAAAATTTTACCTGGAAAGTTTGAAAATTATTACTGGAAACAAAAACAGCAAGCATGTGCACTGGATATGGCATTGTTTTGATTCCTCCTTATCCTAAATTTCTCCCTATCCAGCCTGTCTATGAACCTCAGAATTTTGTACACCTCCATCAGATTCCCCCTTCGCCTGTCTAAGGAGAACAAATGTCAGCCTATCTAATCTCTGAGCGGAATCACTCCAGCCCAGGCAATATCCTGGACAAGCTCTTCTGCATCCTCTCTCTAGTGCAATCACATTCTTCCCATTGCGTGGCAACCATAAGTGTGCACAGTACTTGAGCTGTGGCCTAAATAACATACTGCTCTATCATAAACTCCATGCTCTTGTATTCAATGCTGCAACTAATAAAGGCAGGTATCCCATTTGCCTTCTTGACCACCTATCCTGTTGCCTTCAAAGGTCTACAGATATGCACATCAAGATCCCTCTAATCCACCATGCGTCTTAGGAGGATATACCCTCCTGCCTTGTTAGTCCTCCAAAAATATATCCTCACACTTTTCATTGTTAAGTCCCATTTGCCACTGTTCAGCCTATTTATATAACCCTGTCATTTAAGGCTTTCCTCCTTGCTATTTACGACAGCATCAATTCTCTTATCATCTGCAACCTTACTGATTACATCTCCCATGTTCATATCTGGATCATTAATGTACACAACAGCAGCAAGGGACCAGCACCATATTTAAAGGCGGCTTTTACACTGTATTCAAACAAGTTCTTGTAGCCCTTAGAATCTGATGAGGTACGTGAAATGGCCAAACCAGCAACAATTTTAAGTAGCTTAGTATTCCTGCAGTTTTCTCCAAGAACTGTATTTTATTTGTTTCAAGTGTGATAGAACATTGCTTAAAAAATATGCTTTTCCATTATTTTAAAAACATATTTTACAGCAAAATTTTTCTTTCCATTTCCCAGCTAGAAATAGGTCATAACTATTTCTCGGAATAAAGTATTTGTTTATGCACAGCATGCATGATGTTTTAAAATCTATGAGACAGCGAAAGTGACGTCTGACATCAGATAAAATACCTGTAGCAGCATTGACGAAAGAGAAATAACTCCACCAACTTTGTGTCTTGCAGTTAAATTACTCCACTGTAATCTGACTCCACTGTAGCACCCTGGGGTGCTGGGGATGCACTGCATTCTAACGTTTAAACACATGCAGCCATATTTAGCAGCCCCCACCAGCATATCTGAAGGGAACAGGGCTCATGCCCACTTTTCCTGATCACCATTCTCACACATTGTGGAGGAGAGGTAGGGAATCAGGAATAACTCCCCAACTTTGCACCAAGTAATGGCCTCTTGGTGATTTCATTCTCTGTTGCTATTATACATGAGATAGTGGAAGGTGGAAGCAGGTTGGCAACCCAGCAGTTTTCACTGTGTGGGCTACTGTCGGGCAGAAAGGGAGATCCCTTCTTTGATAAGGCGCTGTGCCCATCAGAAGTGCTCCTTAGTTTATATTCCTCCCCCAATGTGTAAAACAACCACCTACATTCCTCCTTTCTCCTCGAGGTCTGCCAGGTAGGCCCACCTAAAATCCCCGGAATTACCTGACGTATGGAAATAATTACACTTCTTCCTCTTGGACTGCTGTAGTCCGAGCAGTGGCCACAACTCAATCCTAATGCTGTTGCAACTGCAGAGTTACCAGTTAATGTGATTAAACAGTAGCTCTCCAGGGTGAAACTTTAATTTTTCTCAGATTGGGGGCAGAAATCCCACTCTGGCTCAATTCAGGCTATTCTGAAATTGCTGCAAGGCAGCTGGGTTTCTAGTGGTTTGGCCTGACACTTTGGGGGTTGGGGTGGAGAGGATATGACCTCCTGTAAAATTCACCCAAAGTCTCACTCATGAAATCAAGGTTTTAATATTCTTCCTAAAGCGTGGTGTTTGAATTGGGCGCAATATTCCAACGGAGGCCTAACCAGTGAATTTGAAAGATTTAACATAAACTGCACAGTAATTCATGGGATTACTAAAACATAACAGGCAAGGTATTCCCTGTGTTTTACTAATGGTCTAGTTTAAGCACATCAGAAACATTACATTTATGCTTTGGCTAATGTGGCAATATAGATATTGAGTACAGGAAGGATAAATGTACCGTTATTGCTGGTGAAAACAAACACCCATTTCCTTCACGATAGTAAATGTTAAACCATTCATGTGGTAGTTTGTTAGCTATTTACTGTAAATAATTCATGTAAAGCATTAATGATCTGTGGTGTTTGATTGATAGATAGATTAGAATATTTGAATTTAGCATGCATTAAACCAGTACATGTCTCTAAAAGGAATAATGAGTTACTTAATATACAGCCACTGTAAATCCATAAACCAGAGATGTATTAGTTTTAATGTGGGGGAATATGCTGAGAGGGGTAGATAAAGTGAGACAGCTTGGCGTGCAAGTGCACAAGTCCTTAAAATGTAGCAGTACAGGTAGATGAAGTTGTAAAGAATGCAAATAGAATGCTCTTCTTCACTGGCAGAGATATAGAATACAAACGTAGGAATACAACGATGAAACTGTATAAGGCACTGGTGACGCCACAGCTGGAGTCTTGTTTGCAGTTCTGGTCACCACATTACAGGAAGGACATAATTGTTCTGGAGAGACAGAGTGTAGAGAAGATTTGCCAGAATGTTGCCAGGGCTGGAAGATTGTGGCTATGAGGGGAGATTGGAAGGGATGGGGTTGTTTGCATTGGAGGAGAGAAGGCTGAGGGGTGACATGATTGAGGTATACAAAATTGTGAAGGACAGAGATAGAGTAGACAAGAGGAACCTCTTTCCCTTGCCAGGGGTCATAGATTCAAGCTAAGTGGCAGAAGACTTAGAGGGGGCATGAGGACAAAGTTTTGTTTTTTTTGTTTTTTTTTTAAAAACACAGAAGGTGGTGGGTGTCTGGAATTTGCTGCCTGAGTTAGTGGTAGAGGCAGAGACCCTAAACACTTTTAAAACTTACCTGGATCTGCCCCTCAGGTGTTGTAAGCTGCGGGGCTGCAGACCACGTGCAGGAAGATGGGATTAGAAAGGTAATCTGTGTGTTTTTGGATCACATGGACAAGATGGGTCAAATGGACCTTCTGTGCTGCATCATTTGTATGGGTCTATGGAGTATGTCAGAAGTCACATGACACCAAGTAATAGTCCAACAGGCTTGTTTGAAATCACAAGGTTTTGAAGCGTAGCCTCTTCATCAGGTAAGCAAAACCTGACTTTGTCCACCCCAATCCAACACCTCCAGTCATGGCTTCTATGGAGTATGACAGGTAAAGCAGATGACCTTAGAGTTTGGATTAATACATAACTATTTTGAGTTTGATTTTATGGTCATGTGTATTTTACAGTAAGAATACATTAAAATACAGTAAAAAGCTTTCATTTGTCACCATGATAGGGTGCCATTTTGAATAATTTAAGAATAAGAAAAAAAAATACAGCCTGAAGAGAGTCCATCAGTCCTGAGCCAGCTCATCACCATCAATGCCGTTTGCAGCACCGTCCCACCACCTTGCCACTGTCTACACCAGAATGAACCTACAACAAAAACGCCAATCCTCAGGCTCCATCCTTACTGCTGGGCCGATACTCTGCCACCATCTGCACTGGCCCAACCAACATCACAATCGTTTCTTTCACCGCAGGACCCACCTCACTGACGTTGCCGTGAAGCTCTTCTGCCACCACTCTGCTGCTGCCATTGCGGAACCCAACCAACAATGAAGTCACTGATCCTCAGGTGCCATCTTTTGCGGCTGGGCCTAACTCATTGATGTCACCTCTGCCGAATGTAGCAGCCACCAATTCCAGATCCTGTGCTTGCTATGGAGATGTAAGTAGGGGCTCGCTCGAATCCACACTGGACCCACTCTCCTCCATGCCCTGGGCCTGCTCAAGGTCCGTGGTAGGCCCGCCCAAAGACCGCACCCTGGGCCAGATCAAGACCACTCAAGGTCCGCACGTTGGGCTCTCACCACCTCCAATGCCATTCCAAACTCAGGACAAGATAATTAAGTAAAAACAAGAAAAGAGATGAGATAAAAAAAGAAAAAGCAAAACAGCCAGAGCAGACGATCTCTGGCACAGGAGCCCTAGTCTGCTGCTGTTTTGGACTGGAACAATTATGTTGTAACCAATAAAGAGACTTAGTTCAGAGAGAGGGACAAGTTTGGCAGCTTAACTTTGAGATTTAGATGTTTCAGGTGTGATAAAGAGGGATTTAAAAAGAGGTGGGGGAGTTGCATTACTGATTAGAGAGAATATCACCTCCCTATTGAGGGAGGACACCTTGAAGGTTAATCCAGCAAGGCAACACCAGAGGATGAGATGGTCAAGAAAGCATATGGCATGCTTGCCTTCATCAGTCAGGGCAAGTATAAAAATTGGCAAGTAATGTTACAGCTGTATAGAACCGGAGTTAGGCCACATTTGCATAGTGTGCACAGCTCTGGTCACCAGACTACTAGAAAGATTTGGAGGCTTTGGATAGTGTACAGAAACAATTTACCAGGACGTTACTAGTTTGGAGGGTATTGGCTATGAGGAGAGATTGGACACGTTTGGTTTGTTTTCACTTGAAACATCAAAGGCTGAGAGGCAACCTGATGGAAGTTTATGAAATTATGAGAAGCATGGATAAAATGCATTGTCAGAGTATTTTTCCAAAAGAAGAAATGTCAGCTACTGGGGGACATAGGTTTAAAGTAAAAAGGGGTAAGCTTAAAAGGAGATGTGAGAGGCAAGTCTTTTACACGGAGGGTGGCAAGTGTCTAGAATGTGCTGCCAGAGGTGGTGGTGGAGACAGATACAATAGCAATATTTAAGAGGCATTTTGACATATATATGCATGCATAGGCAGGAATTAGAGGGATATGGACCACATAGAGCCAAAAGGCTTAGTTTAGAAAGGTATGTGTCAGCGCAGTCTTGGTAGGTTGTAGAGCCTGTTCCTGTGCTGTACTGTTCTTTGTTCTAGAGACTTTTGTCCAATAATAAATTTGCATTTTAGTACAATAATGTCTTTCAACTTAATAGAATTCAATTAACAACAAAAATGGTACAGATCAGCCTATTTTTAATTACTTCCTAGCAAGGAGGTTGTGACACTTGCCCAAGTGCCTCTTTTTAATTTATACACCGATTAGCACTTCCTGATTAAATTAGTACTCTCTCCTTCAAATGTTAAATGTTGTAATTTAAAGTTTTAAAATCAAAAACATACATTACTATTGAAGTTAATATATCTAATGACTAAATATTCAGAGGTACCTAGTATCTAGTAATTTATTCAATTTGAGGAGATCCCCAGTTCCAGAAATTGAAGTTCACAAGATTTTATATTGATTACTGTGATTTTAAAATTATTTTTTCAGATTTTCCTCCTTTTCTCCTCATAATTTGATTCCGGATGGTACATTACTGGGCCTTTTTTATAATGAGGAATGATCTGGCTAGGAGAGCGAATAGCCACTAACAATCTCCATTAACAGCTAACAATAGGTAGTGTGCAATGGCAGGCTATGTGATAACAAGGCCTGCTGTGTTGGGTAGAGAGCTAGGACAAGGGAGAGTTCAGGCCCTATAATTAGCCCCAAAACACTACTGTAGTGTTCCAGCAAAGTTCAGTGCAAGCTGGAAGAACAACACCCCATTTTCCACTTGGGGACCCTGCAGCCCTCTGGACTCCATATCAAATTCAATAATTTTAGGGCCTGAACTCTTCCATGTTCTAGCCCCCTACACCAGGCCTTGTTATCACATAGCCTGCCATTACACGCTACCTATTGTTAGTCACTAATAGTCCCCATTAACAACTATTCAATCTCCTAAACAGATCACTATCAACAAAACATTTTCACAACTATCATCATTTCTGAGGAAGGGTCACCAGATCTGAAATGTTAACTGATTTTTCTTCACAGATGCTGCCAGACCTGCTGAGCTTTTCCAGCAACTTCTGTTCTTGTTCCTGATTTACAGCATCTGCATTTCTTTTGGATTATTTTTATAACGATTTTTCTTTTAGCTTGCTCCTCAAATACACTTATTTCTTTATGAATGCAGAGGTACAACTACGTAGCAGCAGCAGCAGCACGGGAAACATTCAGGACTGAATATATCGTCCTTTACATGGGAGAGGGTCTTCACCATCCGGCAGACCATATCTCGCTCACTTTTTAGAACCTGCTTTATTTCATTCTAGAATATCAAGTTTCAACATCCAATTTTTCAAAATGAATTTCTGAAAGGTTTCGACAGCATGGTTTTTATTTCTTTTTGTGTAGGCCTTCTAAGATTATGCAACTGTTAGCAGGAATGTATATCATGTAAGAAGCAGTTCTGAGCACGCAGCAACCAGCTCAGTTATAGCTACCTCAAGTGGCTCAGACTGTTATAAAAAAATGGAGGGAGGCAGCTTTTGAAACACAGAACAACTTCAGAAGGAGCAAATTTGAGCTAGTTTTGGTCTTTGGCATTTTTGGTTTCTTACGGTCCAGCATTATTCAGTTGCTGATGCATAAGACGTCTCCAGACATGGAGTTGTTATTATGGGCCTTGATGGTTATAGTTGTTACACAAACAAGGTCCTAAATATGCTCTGAATGCAAATGACTTTGTGCTAGGCATGCAAATAATTAACCTCCTGTGTCAAATGCCCTTTTCCTCGATTCCAAAAAAAGTGCTAAGATGCTGATCAAGTGCAGCTGGAACAATGATTTCTGAAGCTCAGTGGAAAACCATAGCATGGCAATAAAGTACAGTATCATTGTGGAATTCTTGATCTGATCGGTTAGCTTAAATTTTGAAATCTGGTACCTGAAATCACATGTAATTTTATCCAGCATTGTGGCTGTCTTGGAATAATATTTTTCCTCCGTTTCATGGAGAGCTGACTGTACTTTTAATAGCTCCAAACTCTTTTCTCCTAGCTGTGTCTCAGTCATCTTCTCTTGTTCGGACCTCCGTTCAATCTGGAAGCAAATCCAAACAAACAAACAAAGTCATTCTAATTAGTGTGGTTTAAATTTTTACACTATGTCCAAGTTTTCAACATTAATTTAGAAACCCTTTGATCAAATTTGAAAATGATTATTTTAACTTCTTAAATGACTGTGTTTACAGTGAAATGCGGGCTTCACGAAAGACCACAAACTGAGTTGTGCCAGTTAGTATGTAGAGGAACACTATTAGTTGTAGGAGCGGCCTTGACATCTTGGAACATGAACATGGAGTATCAGGATCTGGCCTTTTTTTTTTAAAAAAAAGAGTTTGCAGAATCAAGCACTTTCATGAAGGCTCTTAAAGTCCAAGAACACTTTAGGTAAGGATTCAGAGTGCTGAATGCCTATGGAGGCATTGCTAGAATTTGACAATCTTGGATGGATATTTTGACGTGTGGAAGCTTTGAAAAAGGATATTTTTGTGTTACATAGAAACAACAACACACTGATATAGGACACTAGATCCAATTATTCCACCTGGTGTTTATACCTCAGTGTAAACTCTTCCTTCCAGACTCAGACAACATCAGTAGATTGCTGCCGGGACTGGAGGGTTTTATTTAGGAGAATGCTGTGGGTACCAAATGGACTAATCAGCAGGTTATGACAATTTGGGACAGTGGCTAACTCCCATGAATAGCCAACCAGCTGGCAGGTCTGTCTGGGTGAAAGATGGTGTTGAGATGTTGTTGATCTCACATGTGCCTTCAAACGATCTGGCTCAGGCTTGAGGTATTCTTATGGATATAAGCAGCATAGACCTGGCTCCATAAAATTAAACCATTTCCAACTTTATTTTTGAACAGCCTCAAAGGGCAGCTAGTTAAGTTCCTCCAATATTCTTGTGCAAAAAAAAAAAGGGCATTAACAATTGATGTAGATGCCATGGTTTGCATATCTAAGTGGTCTAAATTTGACAACAGGCAGGCATACTGCTTACCCATTTGCTGTTGCACTCAAAAGCATCATTGCTTAACTTGAACTACCAACTACTTAATTTTCCAAACATTGGTACTGGTAGACATGCTTAACTGACCTGTTGCTTTATTACTGTAACTTTATGCTCATTGTTCTTTAGTTTGGTGACTTGTCTTTCCAGTTCCTGTTTGCTTTGCAGCAATTCCATTTCTTTGTGAGAGATGGCCATGTCCATAATCTCCTTCATCTTCTTCAACTGTACTATTTCTTCCACAAGAGACTGCTTTTCCTTCAAATAAGAATCTGCATGTTTTGAATAAATTATGCTGTTAACTACCAGCAAGGGCACCAGTTGGAGAGAGAACGCTTTGTAATAAAATTAAATCCATTTCATTATATTGTTGTAAACCATTTATGGCAGGTTTATCAGAAATTGTACACAAAGTAAGCTGATGAAAATTATACCTTATTTGGCACAACAAATATTGCATTTCCATTGTTAGAAACATACATATTCATGGATTATGAGAATTGAAAAATGAACTGTTTAGTCAAAAATTCAAATGCCAAGAAGAACTGTGGGTTATTTGCAGCTAACTGGAAAAGCAAATAATTTTGCAGAAGGAGATAAACCAAAGCTTGAAAAGAGAGGTAAGAAAAGACTTGATAAACAAACCTGAAGAAAAGCACCATACTCTGTAGACAATGATTAAAATGTATTATCCTGAACATCATCAGGATTGAACAAAGGTTTGGGTTTTCTCCTGTTCTGAAGAAAAGTCATCAGGCCAATCAGGACCACAGCTCTCCAGCACTTTGGAACAGAGATGTGCAGTGTTGAATTGGATTTTAGTCAGTGTTTGGGATCTTGTCAGAAACCAAGTGGCAAGCCCCTGTGAAGGCAACAGGAGCTGAAGCGAGAGATCCAATAGGGGCATGCAACATTTATGGAGACAAAATCTCAGTAGCGGCCCTCTGATGAGCCCAGGGAGCCTGTTTTGGAGCAACCCATTCCTTCTCACCACCAGCCCAAGGAGAGAAACCTGCTGTTTTCACACTAAGCGTAGGCCTTTCCTGCTGGTTGTTAAATCCTGGCAGCAGAGCAATGCTGTCATAAAGCAGATGTTGACTGTCCACTTAAGGGCCTCCATCTGTTTGCAGACCATCCAACACCACCACTGTGCCTGCAGTGGCAGTTGTACCAGGAGATCAGCAGGTAAGCCAGTTGCTGAACTTACTGAGTTCCCTGCCTTCAAACCATTAAGTAGATACCATTCATCACTGAACAACTTCTCTGTTGTCTGTTTTCTAGCCTTTTCTGTCTCGTTACTCATACTCGCTTAATGAAATTTCATCTTCTGTCTGAAGCCTTGCTTCTCTCTGTTCCAGATGTATCTTAATCTTCTCATTCTCTTGCCATACTAGTGTGAACACTTCCCAGGAGTACCAGCAAATTTCCCTTCAATAATATTGGCCCTTTCTATGCTTTATGGAACCACTTCACAGTATGAAACGCTAATATCCCAGGAATCTACATTTCTGCCTCCTGCACATTTCAACAGCCACATATTCACATTTGCTGTGTTTTCCTATTTCTGTACTCACTGATACATGTCACCAGCAGTATCTGGAAATGACTATATTTGGGTTCTTGAGTTTTAATTTCATTTCCTAATTCTGTAAAATCTTTGTGTAGGACCTTACTCTTCATTCTACCTCTGCAATTAAGATTGCTATTGACCATGGCCTCTGGTCATGCATCTGAGCCATTCAAAGTGCTCTGCAACCACTCAGGGATATCATTGGCGTGACACAATGGAAGCACAACATACCATCCCGAAGTCAGAACTGCACTGCAGAAATGCCAGTCTGTTCCAGAGTATAGAATACCCTATCACAATCCCTCTTTTATCCTTCATACTACGCCACTCTGCTGCTGAGCCACTCGTGGGGCAGAGGCTGGGCTCTGGCTGTATTCTGCAGAACAGCCATTACTCTCACCAGCACATTCAAAGCTGAACATATATTCCAGAACAAGATGCATTCAATAGCCTGCTGAGTGACCTGATTGGTCCTCCTTATCTGTCTGGTGGCTTACACATTCCCCCTCTGTCTGCACACTGTTAAGCTGTGGGCTAACCACCTCCTGAAATGCACTGTCCATGTAGCTCTCAGTCTTGCTAATGTACCATACGGATAGCCGCTGCTGCTAAAGCTGTGAAAGACAGAGTTCAAAACTCTGCTGCCAATAACACTTTCTGCACACGTAGTTGTTTAAGACCTGAGACACTTCCAAGAATTCCTATAGCAAGCAAGATATGCACTTAATAGGTCTGAGGTGGTCTGCCTTACTTCATCATTTATTTATTCAACCGGAGGTGGTTGCTTGTATCCACTCAAACATGTGACTGAGCCTTTGCCGAGCCAGAGGATTGGCAGGAACATGGGAGCTTTTGAGCACAATTTTAAAGATGCTGCACAGCGTTAAAATATCTGCTTTCCACCTGATCTTCTGGTTACCTGTCCGTATAATTCCAGCTACTTGGTCAGTATTGCAGCCAAAGATCTGTACTCGCGTAATGCAGACAGAATGGGTAGGAACACTGCAGCAACTTGACTATAGAGACTGCCAGGCCAGACTGGTGCCAGTTTAGGGATATGCAAACTAACTTAACAGAAGTAAAACTTATGACTTAAATACTTAAGATTTAAAATTAATAACCTCAGTTCCTTCCTTTGGGTTTCACCTCCCCTTCCTCTCTGCAATGATTCTCATGCCACTCTTCAATGTCTGAGTTGGTCTCAGGTCCTACTCCTTTGGTGCTCACCCCAGCTGTGTTGCCAGGCTTGAATCACTGACTCTACTCTTGCCCAGTCGCTGCCCTTTCTGGTGTCAGGACTCCTCTGCTACCACTTCTTACATCTCACAATGCTCTCTTTTACATCTCTCCCCTCCTGATCTTAGGGCTTCTACATCGCTGTGCTTTCCAGTTCACTCAGCTGCATCTCCTCTCAGTGTTAGCCTTTTCTCTTGCTGAGTTTCATATATTACTTTGTTATTGTTTAACTCTCACTCTTCCTTATGTGGCTTAGAGTTAAGTTTTGCATTATAAAACTCTCATGGGGATGTTTTGTTATGTTAATTGCACTGTATAAACCCAAGATTTTAGTACTGTAAAATCATCTTTCAAATTAAGCATATATAGACAAAGTTTAAAAAAGTGAAAAAAGGTTTTCATATTTCATGAGCCAACCACAGAACTTGCCTTCTGAGAGATTAAATTCATTGCTGAGCCTCTCTTTTTCAGTCTGCAACATATTTAAATTGGATTCTTTTCTTTTCAGTTCTAAGTGCAGACCATCAAGTTGAGAACGCGTCTCCTGAATAATTATATACAATTGAACAGTTGTGATCAATTAAATATTTCAGTGCTTTTCCCCAAATACTTGAATCAAGAGTCTTTAATAACAAAGAAAGTAACAACTTGTATTTATGAAAGCCCCACGATGGCCCACAGAATTTCATGACTTAAGCATTTTTGAAGTGTAGTCCCTATTGTCATGGAATGTAGTGAAAAGTGACAGCAATTTGTTAACAGCAAAATTCCACAACACCAAAGAGAGAATTACTCGTTAATCTGCTCATCAAAGCCTTATCTGAGGAATAAATCTTGGTAGGACTCCCTCTGCAGTGCACCATTTTACCCTCATTTAAAAGTATTTGTTCCTCACATATATTGTTAAAAATACAATAATCTAAACTCTTGTTATCATATGAATAGAAAACCAAGAGGTGAACAGTGATATTAAGTAAAATAAGTGGCATGGGGTCAAAATTTGCAACATGGCAACATCACCAATCTAAACCTACTGGGATTGGGCAATGGAGACCACAATTCCAGTTTGGATCCACAAGCAGAGGCACATTTGTCATTCAACAAGTTGCTGTTAGATTGGTCCCTTTGCGATTTGAATACTTATCCACTCTCGGTGTTGAGAGTTTCTTACCATCGATATTGCCCCAGGAAACATGACTGGCTCAGTGGAGATGATTTATTTTGGAGCTGATTTCCAACCTTCCCAGGTTACTTCCAGAAGGACTGTAGATTTTTGACCCCAATACTTTGATAAAGGAGGTTTACTGGGACATCATGTCTATCACGTTCCCTGCTAAGCAGTACAGACACTTTGTAAGACCATAAGATATTGGAGCAGAATTAGGCCATTCGACCAATCAACTCAACTCTGTCATTCAATCATGATTGGTGTGTTTTTCCACCCCATTCTCCTTCCTTCTCTCCATAATCCTTGATTCCATTGCTAATCAAGAACGTATATATTGCTGTCTTAAGAACATTCAATGACTTGGCGTCCACCACCCTTTGTGGCAACAATTCTACAGATTCATCACCCTCTGGCTAAGGAAATTCCTCCTTAATCAGTTTTGAAGGGTCGTCCCTTCACTGAGGCTGAGCCCTCGTGTCCTAGGTTTTTTTCAACTAATGGAAACATCTCTATGTTCACTCTATTCAGGCCATTCAGTATTCTGTAAGTTTCAATGAGATCCCCCTTCACCCACCAGGCCACAAGTCCCACTTCTGCTGTAGATGTCGCCTTGCTGATGCCACTATCTTAAAGAGTCTGGTGCTAATTGCCTAAGTGCCAACTGAAACTGCACGTTAACCTTAAGAGAACCCTGAACTAGGAGCGCCAAGTCCCTTTGTGCTTCAGATTTCCAAAGCCTTTTCCCATTTAGAAAATAGACTATATCCCTATTCTGAGATAACAAGGTGTAGAGCTGGATGAACACAGCAGGCCAAGCAGCATCAGAGGAGCAGGAAAGCTGACGTTTCGGGCCTAGACCCTTCTTCAGAAAAATCTCTTCTTCAGAAAAATGATACTACTTGGCCTGCTGTGTTCATCCAGCTCAACACCTTGTTATCTTAGAAATCTCCAGCATCTGCACTTCCTACTATATCCCTATTCTTCCTGCCAAAGTGCAAAACCTCTCACTCTCCCACATTGTATTCCACCTGCTACCGCTTTGCCCAAAATAAGATTTAGCATGTCCTGCCCTGCACAGATAAACTTACTGAGCTACTTATGAGGTGGATTGGTCATTGGAGGGGGGTGGCAGGTGCTGTCCTGTATTGCTTCTATTGATGAATAAGTCAACTTCATTCTTTTCTCTCTGTACGCAGTCCTCACATCAGCATATTGAAATTTAGGTTATGCAGCAGCAATTAAAAATGATTTGCTACAAAAATAATGTTACCTGTAGCTTCTGGAACATTCTCTTTGCCTCCAATTCTACCTTTGGTTGGAGGATGGCAGATTTTTTAGTTTCAGCACGAGTATGTTTCTGTTAAGATATTAAAAACAAAAGCAAGCAGATAATGAGTAATATTAGGGCATCACTTTGAGATTGGGCTCCTTTTACTAAAAATCTTCCTTAGTTTGTTTCAAATTTCTGATAGACTATCAGCCAAAATATTCTCAGTAACTTAGAGAAAGGGAGCACTTTCTATTTATGAATGAATATGATCAAACCCTGGCTGTGATATTGCCAAAGTGATACTTTGCAATTCTGCACGTCCTCAGAGACCAGTGCTATCTGGCCCCGCTTACACTGTCAAACAAAATTTCGTTAGCTTTCTCTAAATTCAAACCTGAAAGCATGGTGAGAAGTTTTGAAAATCTCCGACTACAAACAGTTTTAATTACTGAGACTGGCAATGCCTGGCATGTTTGAATGATCAAGGTGCCCTTCTGGAATCAGGACTGGCTGAGCCAGGCTACCTCTCACTGCATTGAATGAATTGTTTCATTGCTACAACGAGTCATATTTCAAATATGGCCTGATATTTGCCCATTAGAACTTTTGAATGAGAGTCAAATCAGGGACATGACCTAAAGCCAGTGAGCCATTTACAATCTAGAAATAAATAAAAGAGCACACCATGTGATTACTTCCAGAGAATTACTAAGCACAAAAACAGACTTGATGTAGAAAGGATATAGAAAGTTGGCTTCAAGTTCCAGATAATGTATCTGTTGCTGGAGATTCTTTATGAAATCAGTTTCAACACTAGCCAAAGGGCTTTCAGCTGAACTACGGAAGGAAGACATTTGTGTATTATGCTGATACAGTATTATTTCTACAGATGTGTATAAGAGAAGTCAGAATACATGTCTTTCATAGAAAATAAAGTTGTTTACTGTAAATAAGCCAGCCTGAATCACCCTTACAACATTGTCCATGATGAATTATCTAATTTGCCCCACATTACGTAGTCACTAAGTACTCCCACTAGTAAGCGATTTTATACATTTGTAGGACATGGGCATTGCTGGCTGGGTCAGCATTTATTGCTTTTCCCTAGTTGCCCTTGAAAAGGTGAAGGCGAGTGGCCTTCATGAAGCACTGCAGTCCATGTGCTGTAGGTAGATCTGCAACGCCCTTAGGAAAGGAATTCCAGGATTTTGACCTCGCGATGCTAAAGGAATGCCAATGTATTGCCATGTCAAGATGGTGAGTGGCTTGAAAGGGAACTTGCAGACGGTGGTGTTGCTATGTATCCATTGCTTTCTACTTCCAGGTGGAAGTGTTTTGCATCTGGAAGGTGCTGTCTAAGGAGCCTTGATTAATTTCTGCAGTGCATCTTGTAGATAGTACACACTGCTGCTCCTAAGCGTTGGTGGTGGAGGCATTGGATGTTTGTGAATGTGGTGCGAATCAAATGGGTTGCTTTATCCTGGATGATGTCAAGCTTCCCTAGTGTTGTTGAAGCTGCACTCATCCAAACAAGTGGAGAATATTCCATCACACTCCTGATTTGTGCCTTGTTGATGGTGGATAGGTTTTAGAAAGTCAGGTGGTGAGTTATTTGCTGCAGTACTCCTAGCCTCTGACCTATTCTTGTGAGCACTGTGTTTATGTGGTGGGTCCAGTTCAATGTTAACCCCAAGGATGTTGATAGTGGGGGATCAGTGATGGTAATGCCATTGAATGTGAAGGGATGGTGGTTAGATTGTGTTCTGAAAAGTACTTAGCAAAAATAAAAGATTTGTTTTCTGTAATCTTACTTGAACTGTTTGGGGAAATTGTTCATGTTGAGTACCAATTAGCTCCTTTTCCAGATGAGCCTGAGAAAGTAGAAAAACAACAGGAAGGTTAGAAGTTGGACTGTTTAGGAACAATTCCACACATTTAGCTCCTCCAATAATAATGGAACACTCATGCCATTCACAACCAGCTCTTGGATAATTTTTAGCTTTGAGCTGACAAGGTTGTTAAAATTCATGTTACTCAAGTGCTGGGCTCAATGAGGAAGCTAGCAATTTTCACTATTCTTGGTATCCCCTCCTGGGATGATAAAGCTATCAGCCAATCAGATTGGATAGCAGCTTGGTAAGGTAAGAATTCCAAATCAGCGAGCGGTGGAGTGCCATCTCTTGGTAATTGACGCTATATGGCAGCTGGCATTGGTGGAGAACTCTTTTGGTGGTAGAGCAAATTCTGACCTGGGGAAAATGACAGGAACAAAGAAAAAAATGGCAAAAGAGCCAAAGGATGGCAGCTAACTTCAGGGTTCTAAGCTGGATGTTTGCAGGTGAGAAATAGAAAGTAGGAACGCAATGAAATAATTCTAAGTGAGGACTAGGAGTGGGGTGTTTAGCCTTTGAGCCTGCTCTGCCATTTAGTAAGACCATAGTTGATTTTTTTACATTATCTATACACTCCTACAGTATCCCTACAAATTCAGACTTCCTTCTTTCTCAATTCCTTAGTTGAACACACTGAACATCTGGGCAATCACACCTTTTTGTGGCAGAAAATTCTAAAGATGCACAGTTCTTTGAGTGAAGAAATTTCTACTGAATTGTAAATGACCAATCCTTTATTCTGGGACTCCTAGTTTTAGGTTCCTCAGTGAGGTGAAACATCTTCCCAGTTTTGACCCTTTTAAGCCCCTCAATAATTTTATATGCTACAATGAGATCACCTCTCTTTTTTAAGAATATTCTGGATAATACAAGACTACTCTACTGAATCTCTCCTTGTACAATAATCTCTACATCCCAAGAATCAATTGGCGAGCATTCATTATGGGAGGTAATGGCCTAATGGTATTATCGCTAGTTTATTAATCCAGAAACTAGGCTAATGTTCTGCGGACCCAGGTTTGAATCCCACCACAGCAAATGGTAGGATTTGAGTTCAATATCAAAAAAAAATCTGGAATTAAAAATCTACTGATTACCATGAAACAATTGTTGGAAAGTCCATCTGGCCCACTAAGGAAATCTGCCATCCTTACCTCGTCTGGCCTACACGACTCCAGATTGGCTCTTCACTTAATCTGCTTATGTCCTTTTGCAACATTTTAGCACTCTCCTCACAGCTTATTTTCCTATCCAACGTGTTATCATCAAACTTGGATACATCACACTCATTCCCCTCATATAAATTATTGATGTAGATTATAAATAGCTGAGATTGAGGCACTGATCTTGTGGTGCCCCCTGGTTAAAGCCAGCTGACCAGAAATGGTTGGTTTATACCCACTCTCAATTCCTGTCCATCAACTAACCCTTAATCCTAATTGATATATGATGCCACAGTTCTATGATCTTTAATTTCAAGCAATTCCTCATTTGTGGTACCTGATTGATTTTTGTTTTGAAAATCCAAATACACCACATCCTCTATTTCTCAACTTCCGCTCTTACATCTTATGGTCTTCTCCACTCAACTTGTTGCAACTTGAAATTCTTTTAAGAGATTTAGCAAATTGTTTCCTTTGCATAGAGTTGTCTTGACTTTGTCTAATCATGAGATTTTTCAGGTGTCCTTTTACCATGATTTTTATTGATTCCCCCATTTTCTGTACTATTGAGGGGAGTCACCTGTGAGGACATCATGATGAAAGGCAAGTCGGAGATGGAGCACTTGTGGGGTCTCACTTATCCCCCATAAAATTGCAGACAGGTCAGGAATGGGCGAGAGGATAGCTAGTTGGTCATCCAGGGATTTTTTTTGGGCTCCTCGCTGCCTGTGGGGAACAGTAAAGGTCTACACTGAGTGCGGTCTAACCAAGGATCCATACACATTTAACATAACCTGTGTGCTTCTAAATCAAATCCCACTGGAAAGGAACTACAATAGTCCAACTATTTTTAAGTGGTTTCGTGGACATGCATCACAACTTTTAGTGACTTGACTCCTAAATTCTTTGCCCCCATTTGAACTCTCATTTACAAGGTACATGTGGCCCCCTTGTTCTTCCTACCAGAAATGCACCACCTTACACTTATCTCTAATAAAACTCAATTGCCAATGTAAGCGAGCTTACGAAAATGTCTTCTTGCACTGTGTCAGGTGCAGTTCGGTTTTCAGAATACAACCCCTTCTCCGGTTTTCGATTAGCATTTCGGTAACTTGGCAACCCTCATATTAACTTGACCAGAAACACTGCTGCTGATCCTCTGAAACATTTAAAGCGCAATTAAAATTAAAAACAAATCAAAAGTGGAATAAAATCTGTTTTAAAGAACACTAAAACATCAAGATTTGCCGTTTTAACCCGAACTGATTGAAAGTCAACCGTGTCTGAACAGCTACAAAACGAATAAAAAACCGCATGCGGTGGGGGCACCTATTGAATGGCAGCACATGCAGGGACGTTCCAGTTATTAGAATGTCACTTCTCTGCATTATATTGCAAATTAGAACGGCAACACATACCTGCAGATTCCGGACTGTTCCCGAGTTGGTTTTCTCAGCACTTCGTTACTAAGAGGAAACCAAACTTCCGCCTGACCCAGGAACTGATGCTGTTCTACCTGTTCCTCACGCAAGCTGATTTTACGACTTTTTAAAAAATTGAACGGAACTCATTGTGATAGGGAATAATGTAGATTCCTGGACTTTTCACGTTACCGGTTTTCCTGTTTTGATGCAGAATTGCTTCATTGGCTCTAAAGTTGCAGGAAGACCTCACTAACTGCAGAGCACTGAGTAAACTCGGAACCACACCAATGGGACTGAAATAGAATTCACTGTCTTTTAAAGCTGGACCCCTTTTTTCTGCAATTGTTAATTGCATCACTGTTACTGTAACGATGTTCATTCTTTTCCATTTGTTGGGAAAGATAACTGTATGTTTATGTCCCATGACCAATCTCACAGACAAACACGCCGCTTAATTGTCCATTCCAAGTCCGAATCACTCACATTTTCAGTTTATTCACAACGATTCACTTGGCATTTCTCTACAACGAAAAGTAGTCAGGCATGAATAATACTGTTTCTTAAAGTCCTCCTTATTCCTCCACCTAGCAAAGCCCTAGGCTATTGTCACATAGAGATCTTGACAAAAATCTAATTTTTTTTTACCACTACCACGTAATTCCTTTAAGTGTTCACACTTTACATGAAGAACCTCCTGATTATGATGATTTATCTTTTAATAATTTGAATTCTTCCCTAGTTCTATCCTCAGTGGCATGCGGAGTAATTTTTCCGATTACCCTTCTCCATACCATTTACCATTTTATTTGCCTCTATTAGAGTCCTAAGCAAGTCATTTTCTCCCCAAGTTCAAATCAAACCACAAGTTTTTTTTATTGAAGTGAGTCAGCAACATGCTCTCTTGCTGGTCTGGCTTCACCACACTCTGTAAATGTGACAGAGATTACCAAACTAATCCACTTATCACGTGGAAATTGAAGAGGCCTTCACTTCTTTCCATTTGTGGACTGACCAGTAATAATCCCAGCCTGAAGGACTATTCCTGTTGTTGGATTAACACTTGCCTCCTCTCTGGTCACAGATTTCCTGGCATCAGTGACATGATCATAGATTGCAAATTTATTAGGAGCTTAAGCAGTACAGGAAGGTGTTAAGTCATTTGCGATGATTTCAATGACAATATTATAATAAATATAACGTGAAATTATTCAGAATTATTCATTCAGAAGAGGGGCTTTTCAAAATTTACATGCATGCACAAAATTGCATTCTTTTTGGAAAACAAAACTAAAAAGTTAAATTTACCTTTCGGGTTGGTTTTCCAGGAGATAAACCACACTTGATATCGCCACAGGGCCAGCAACCAGTCCCATTCCCCATGTTTCGACAGTCGGCATTTCTCTTCATGGTCGAACTTTCTTTCACAATGTTTGTAACTAAATGATACAACCCTTTGCTGTTGCTTGAGAGAGCAACACATGTACAATGCTTGAAGCAAACTGACCACAGCTTTCAATGCAGACAGCATGCTGATGCCCTTTTCTCCTCACACCTATTTAGCCATGGAAAGTTCAGGTTGGCTGAAACAACAGAGGAAGTCAAGCCTTTGCACAGCTTTTGTATTTGGAATTAAGAGTCATAGACTTTTTACAGGATGGAGAGACCCTTCGGTCTCTTGGCCCGATACCTACAATCAACCATTCACTATTCTAATCCTATTTTCCAGCACTTGGCTCATAGTCCTGTATGGTGTGGCCTTTCATGTGCTCATATAAATATTCCTTAAATGTCATGAGGGCTCCCATCTCCACCACACTTTTATGCAGCCAATTCCAGATACCCACTACACTTCTGGATGAAAAAGGTTTTCTTCAAATCTCCTCTAAATTTCCCACTTTTTACACTGTGCTCTTGGACTGAGGGGAAACATTGTCGAGGTTTATGCCCCTCAAAACATTGTTCAACTCAACAAGGACACTCCTCAGCCTTCTCTGCTCTAAGGAAACCAACACCAGCCTATCTAGTCTCACTTCATAGCTGAATCATTCCAGGCCAGGCAACATTCTGCTGAATCTGCTCTGCATCCTCTCTGGTACAGTCACATTCTTCCTTTTTTTTTGTGAATTCAACCTAATTTTTCTAATCAGGCCATTCAGAGAGGTCATTACGCACCTCTGGAGCAGGTGGGACTTGAGCCCAGGTCCCTGGTCCAGAGGTAGGGGATCTTACCTCTGTGCCACAAGACCACTACACATCCTTCCTATAGTGTGGCAACCAGAACTGCAGAACAACTGTGGGCTAACTAGAATGATATACTGCTCCATCATAATCTCCTTGGTTGATTAATAAAGACAAGTATCCCATTTTTTAAAAAAACATCTTATCTACCTGTCTTGCTGCCTTTAAGGGTCAATGGACATGAACTCCAAAGTGCCTCTGATCCTTCCTAAGGACCTACCATTCAACGTCCCTTGCCCTGTTCGCCCTCCCAAAATGCATCACCTCAAATTTTCAGGATTAAATTCCATTTGCCACAGATCAGCCCATCAATGTAAGACACTCATCAAGAATTCCAATAGGGAATTCAGAAAAGAACATATTTCCCAAACTTAAGTAGTGGGTATGAGAGGTCACAGGGGATCAGTAAAGATTTAGTACTGGTATAGGTTAGCACTTATGGGGCATAGGGAGTGTGGGGCTGAGGATTGTGACCTGGAGGAATATTTTAGATCTGTTTTATTTTAAATGTTTGGCGACAGTGCTGGAGTCCCAAGGTAGGTGCCCCACTCAGTTCACCTTAGGAATTGGCAGTCTCTCTGTTCATCAAGGGTTGCTTGAACCCCACAGGATTGAAAACAGAAAGTGCAAACGGCCATAGTTTTAAATGTTGGATTCACAGAGAAAACATTTCTTCCAACTCTGTGTATCTGACCCAGGAATGAGAGTCAGGCACTTTACACACACACATTTAAAATAATTGAGTAAAGAAACAAACTGTGCTTTGTTGATAGAATGTAAATGATCACATTTCTACTACCATCCCAGATAACATTTCACCTAAGTTGTCATTAAAAGACATGTTAGCTATGCATAAAAATGTGGTTCATTCTTAATTGCCCTCCGGACAATTACAGATGGGCAATAAATGTCAACAATGCTCGCATCCGATGAATGAATAAAAGTTAAAAAAAGTACATTCTTTACTCCCCTGCACTGAAAAATGAAACATATTGTTTCAGATGCTGATGAACAGGCGTTACATTTCTAGAATTTCCTGTTTTCAGTTGATTTCCACAGATTGTTTTTTTTTTCTTCTCTACCCTAATTATGCCTAACATTAACATCAAGAGTTAGTGTTTGGAATTTGTAGAATCACTGAAGAATTGACTCTTTTGTTACAGCTTGATTAATGTAGCTCTGTTCCCAGACAGAGGGATAGACCTTGCGGCTTTGTTTTTCTGGCAGTGAGGACTCATGGCAGAGGCAGAGGAGTGATCTGGCCGTTTCCTTTTCTTTTGGCTGTTCCTTTTACTTGTGCTTCTGTTTTTAATCCTGTCTTTTATATACTAAGACAGTGCTGGAGAATGGCAACTTTGTACACTCTTCACTGTACTCTTGTATTCCTGTACTCAAGTACAAGTGACAATAAAATCTAAATTTAAATTATTGGGTAGCTGCAAGTTTGCACTTCCATGGATATTTCTCTAGGTATGTAAGTAGGTTGGCAAACACTTGTGTTCACTGTTTTCCTTCCCTACCTCATTGTCCGAAGCTGACCAGAATGCCAAGTCAGATGTAAGACTTCTGACAAAAGGTTAATATTGGCAGTCTGTTTCAAAACTGCTGATCATATCCATTAAAATATAGTATAATATTAATGTTTTCAATGTGATCAATACAGGTTTGACAAATACATTTTGTTTAACAATTAAAGCATATAGTTTCCGATATAACTCATGCTAGATTCAATTAAATGATCCTCCAGTCTTAAAAGTAAGAAAGCTTTTAGGAGAAAATTGTCAGCATAATCTTCAGAAAAATGCAGGTAATTGATCTATAACAATCGCATACACAAGGGTTGCGTATATCAGATTTTTCCGTAATGCAATTTATTTGCAAACTGAATCATTGCATTACATTCAAATCCATTTTGCCACCAATCCTACTTGTCTTTCCAAGATTCAGATGGTGATCATGAATCTACCATTATCAAAATAATTTCAAGCCTATGAGAAAAGATAGGGTAAATTCATTCAGGCAATGCCAAGCCAGCTGGGGAAAATAGCAAGATCAGAATAATAAGATTCTTGATATCAAGAGCAAAAAGTCCAAATTTCCAACCAAGGCTTGACCAGCAAGATGGCAATCTCACTAGTGAGCTTTGAGAGGCCTATTTACAGCATTAACATTTCATTAGCACTTAACTTCACCTTGTTGATATGCAGTTTGTGATTCCCTCATGCACCAGAAACTAGACGGTGGCAAATCCTGTCATGGGTACCTGGTGTCTCCACCTTGTCACTTGCTCCTCTGCCTTCAATCGTGGCAGTCAATATCCAACATCTCAGGCTGTGGTCCGTGGACACAGGTTCCTGCACACTGATGGAAGGTGGCATCAGATATACAGCAACTTCATTATATCATCATAGTTAACTCTGGGCCCACTTAAAATAGAGTTATACAGTTCTGTATTGCTCCATGGAATGCAGTAACACCTTTTACTGTAACTAGGCCACATTGTGTGCAGCGAAAGGTATCCACCTCATGGTTCACCTGAGGGTCTTCATTTGTCTTCTTAGTGTTTAGTCACTCTGCGCGAAGTTGGATGATCACTGCTCTCCTGCCTTGCATTTTCACACTTTGCCACTAAACTCAGATCTCCCAGCCTTCTCTTGTCTTTTAGCATAGACACAAAGCAAGGCAGCTTTACGTGTTTGAAGCAATGATCTGTCCAGATGATTGATATATCTCACATCTACACCATATGCCAGCAGCCTACATGGCAAACACAATGCATGGGCTTCTACCAAATGGCCACATCTCAAAATCTAAGTGAAGCAGTCCTTAGTCGAGGGGGACTATTATCAGTCAGAGGTGTTGACACAGTATGCCCGGGGCATCCTCCAAAATCAGTTCAGGGCCTTTGACACCGTTATTTGGGTGCTTGTGTCAATGAGAGTCAAGGGATCCAAATCATTACAGTCCAGAGAGTGAATCATGGTCAATCCTGAAGGTCTAATGCAACCAGTCCTTTTAGCACAAAATCAGCCTGAGAACTGCACAGTGATTAGTCAGGGATCTGGTCACTCATCAGTCAGGACTGCCTTTCAGAGTCAGTCAGGGACGCACTGTGGTCAGATCAAAGGGTACATTCACTGAAATTCGGCGGGGGCGGAGGCAGGGTTTATCAGGAACCAAGGCTGAGATGTTGACTTTGGAGAAATCAGTTGTGGATTGGGGATTGGAGGCAACATGTGGGGATGCAGAGAGGTAATAATGCTGTGCTGGACTTGGGTCCCCATGGCAGCCATTCACTTGTCGATGGAGGCAGCCAAATGCTCATGTCTAAGTCAGCACTTTTCAGAGAGAGTTTGTAGTCTCCTCCAATCTCCGAGTCAGTTTCCCTTAGTGTCTCTGACACTTCTGCCTGTTTTAGTAGGTGTCTGGTCTCGGAGTTTCAGAAACCTGCGGCCAGGTGTGGAGGCGTACCCCTAATGTAACCACTGAGGTATCAGTATCTGAGCTGGTGGGAGGGGGGGCAGTGGGACAGCAGTGATCTAATGAGGTATCAGTATCTGAGCTGGTGGGAGGGGGGGGGCAGTGGGACAGTGGTGATCTAATGAGGTATCAGTATCTGATCTGGTGGGAGGGGGGCAGTGGGACAGCTTTGCCAATGCTTCATCCACTGGATCTGTGGCTCCTTCCTCAGAACTGGAGGAGGAGATGATGTCCTGAGGGACCTCATGCTTCAGGGCAGCAACTCTTGGATGCTGCCTGTACCTGCAGGAGACAAGACAATAAGTGAGTTGTGAAATAGCAGAGTTTGGGCATGTTAAGAATTCATTTGCCGTGGTGGCAATAGGAGAGCAGTGCAGCAGCTCAGTGATTTTACTTGAGGATTCCAGCCTTACCATGAGCGGTCACAATCCTTTTCCACTAGGGCAAGGTTCTTCTCCTTGTAGGGAGTAAACAGATGAATATTAGACACCTTTCTGGCTCTCTTCACCCAACTGTGGGCTATTTTCTCCTGGACTGAGACAGAGGGTGGGATTGAGTGAGATGAAAATGAGTGCGAGGGAGGGAAAGTTGATGAGGTGGCTTAGTGAGTGAGTAGGAGGTGCAGAAGGCACGCAGGGTTAGTTTGAGGGGTTGCGATGGGTGAGAGAGTGATTGGAGG